CCAAACACACGTTACCACTGATGATTAAGAAGAAACAGGCTTCAAGTTTGTGTTGTATTTCGTATTTATTAGGTTTTTTAACATACGTGGATATCAAGCAAGCATAACTCGTTAAAATGAGTCTAAAACCAGACTTTCGTCCATATAATGCTAAATCAAATAAAAATTACATTGCATAGTCTACTTTGCAAAAAGTTAAATCGTTATGCTTGTGCTATTACACTTTGTTCACAGTGCACCTCTGACATCATCTTCAAATGTATGAATAACGCATATACGTCGTGGGCACGGGTGGCCCCGTCTTTTCAGGCACCGCTATTCGCAATTGCGTCAGTTAGTCGCGCTCGGAAACTATGCCCATGCTTTTCATCAAAGTGTAAACGTTAAAGACCTGCATCATTTCGCCCTGTAATTAAGCTGCCACGCTATGCAATAACTGCAATACTGTTTGAAGCTGCGCAAAAGGTCACTCATACACACGGGCATATTATTAAAACAAGTACAATGTTCACATTAAATCATCAAAGTCAACATTAGCTCCTACAATCATGGCCACAAAAACAATCATATATACTTGTTATATGTGATAAATCCGCGGGGATTCCAGGGATGAATTATAGGTCTCCGACAACCTGTGCTTGCCTTAAGGGGCGGCTGAATGGATGGAGGGGTCAGGCTCACTGGCATGGTTCACATGATTAGAAGTCACCGTATCACAATTGCGTGGATGATGTGCTGTGTTACACGTGCATTGATACAATAGATCATTTAATGTTGCACGTGATGGTGATGGTGCTATATCATCAATCAATGTTTTAGTGATCTTGTTCTCTTTCCCGTCTTAAGGTGAGTCATGTTGAGGATATTGGTGGCGTAAAATCAATAGACTTCTAAATAATAGTCCAATTTAGTATGATTTAAGCCTCTGCTATCACTTTAAGATAATACTGTGGCAAGTATATGACACTGATACGATTCCATAAATCGATCTTAGTGCGAATGCGAACTGAACTCGAATGCTTTAACATTGTAGCTCCAAGATTGCTTAGTGGAGCGAATCACTGGTCTGTACCACTGATAGCAGCCAATCTCAACTATCGGGTTATTTGTCACCGTCTGTAAGGTGAACATAGATGTTGTCTTCAATTCAACTGTCCAACTTTACTTCATCTTCAAACGTAGCAGGCGAAGCAGGGTTTCATCTGACAAATGCGATCATAGTCGCAATCGGGGCGTACCGACGTTTCTCTTGAGTCTTGGGTAGAATAAGTTCGATCATTTGACGCGGACTTATAGAACGAAACATGATCTTTCTCGATCGAGTTCTTGTCATTCAACACGTCTGTGTGGCCAGATGGGTTGGCAGACATACAATCACAGGCAGTGACCCGAACAGATGTGTTCTCACAGATGTTTGATACAGTACAAAGACAATTATGCTGTTATTATACGGTACAAAGACCATTATGCTTTGGGGCGGTGGAATAGCCTAATAGATAAAGCATTCTCTCGTCACGCCAAAGGCCCGGGTTCGATTCCCAACATATGTGTACAATGTGTGAATACAATTTCTGATGTCCTCCTCCGTGATATTGTTGGAACATTGCTAAAAGCGGCGTAAAACCATACTCACACATTATGACATCATGCCATTACATAGGGACCCACGAAGTGCGGAGAGATACTCTGTGGCACAATGCGTATTGATTTGTGTTTAAAACGAAACATAAGGAAATAGTTATTGCCTCCACACCATTCAAACCCAAACTTAACAAAAATATAGAATAAATTATGTTCAATCATGGAATGTCCATATCGGTAAAATACGCATGCATCTTTCATACTCTAAATATATGTTCAACAACATGTTGTAAAAAAACATTCCGAAGAATAAATATATGAAGGATAATTCTATTAAAGAACAATTTTTTTTTTTCTGGTAAGGATGTTCTGACACAAGTTAGCGATAGAGGTTGAATGATTGTATGAGCGCATCATAGGTGTCGCCATTGATCAAACCTGTTGGGAGTTCAGAAAGTGAGTTGAAATATACTTCGACGGCTGTAAACCTCACCTGTATACACTAGGATCCTTTACATATATGTGTATATAGCTAGGTAGGGTGTACATCAGTTTGGTTACTATATATTCGGTCTCGAAACTACCGATGCCTGTGGGTGGATACAAGCAGAGTATATACATGTACATGAAGGTGTATTTCGTTTTGCAGTGCTTTTAGCTTGTATTCAGGAAAGCGAATTTTTTTAAAAGAATTGTGCAATGTCAGTCCTCTCTCCTCTCTCTCTTTATCTCTCTCTCACTCACTCTCTTTCTCTCTCTCTCCCTCTCTCTCTCTTCATCACTCTCTCTCTCTCTCTCCCTCCGAGGTTGTGAACAAATTTTATGTGCAAACTCTTATATCACCTGACACTGTATGTTCGTTATTTCTGTTTTTACAAATGAACCCACTCAGGCATATATGAAGAGTGAACGTATGTGTGTGTGTGTGTGTATCAACACGCGAGTTGTATAATCACAAAGCAGTTCTTTGAGTAGTATTATGCTCTTGTTTTCCCCCAGCTGAAAATGTAGCATTAATCAGTACCCAACTGCTGGGTATCTATTCTCGAAACTTTCGTGGCACTACGAATTCTCAGGCCCGAACGACACCATTGGCGATAACTTAAAAACTAAGATAAGAAGTATTCTCGAATCGTTGTTATCGTTTTCACAAGTGTGTGTCTCTTAGTAAAACATTCGTAAGTTAAAATAAGAACTCAGAGTAACAATTCGTCCGTATTTTTTCATGCGAAGTCACACGCACTGTTGAATTCCCCTCGTGCCGCCGACACTCGGCCAGAGTGTCATAGTGTCGCCTCATCAGCAATAGATTGAAATCAGCCCCTACAAAATTCCATGCAAATTGAAACATCTACCGTTAAAACCGGCCTCTGTGCAATCCACCTATAAGTAAGGCGTCTTGTGACGCATGTAACCTAAACAGCTTACCATACATGAAGGCCGCAAAGTTTCGGGTGGTCTCCGCGTTACACGTGCACCATGTTTAGAGACGAATTAAGATTTTACCTGCGATTCACAGCTGATAGACAACGTTTTTGGAGACGTAGCGGCGAGGGCTACAATTCTTGACCATGTTCGGTATGGGGTCGGGAGTGTCATGGTGTGGGGCAGTATTACTCTATCAGTATTATTGCTGAATTGGTTATCATGAATGCCTTGGACATTTGACTGGCCAGGGAAATATTTGGCACAATTTCGCGTCGTTGTTCCATTCGCTAGAATTATCGGCAGAAATTGTGAACTGCAAGATGACAATATTAGATCACATCGTGCCCAGGCCGTCACCTTTTATCTCCGACGAGAAGGCATACGAACATTGGACTGGCCCGCTTAATTAGTCCCCTGATCACGACATGTCCCGATCTGTGGGATGTTCTCAAACGGAGAGAGTACTCAATTGGTCCAACTTGGAGTAGCTCTTCAGGAGGAATGACGGGCAATAAATACCAAGGGCAACTATACGCAGGTTAATCAACGGTATGCCATCAAGATGTCATGCATGTATCGCCCAACATAGTGAACACACTATATATTGATCTTCTCGCCCAAAATGTATTTTACAAACATTCATCGTCATTACACCTTTACTATGATTTCATCAGTTCTCCTGTTTTGTCGGTAGTATATATATTGACTGGTCAGCGAGCAACATATTGGAGAAACTAATACATTGCCAACGACAAAGGAAATGAGAAGGACGAAGTCATGTTAAATCAGATATCAAAAGCCACGTCGATTTACCGAACTCGGCAAATATCTTTGAATACATATTTTCGTAGAATCATTCAGACAATGTCGTTTCTTTGTGTTCATATAGAAAGCGTATCACCTTTGTGATTATGGGATAAATTCATGCGTTTTTCCTGAACACATGGCTACAACAGTAGCGTTCGGCTGGATTGATTGACACGTAACAATATCTGCAAAGATCATAAGGCTATTTGTTGGCCTAATAAGGATTAAATGGTACTACATTTTTCGTAGATTATAAACATATGATATCAATGCGTGCCATCAAATGTAATATTATGCTCTGAATTTGAGGAGAGGCCCATTAATTCTACACAGTGCATTAATTATACACAGATTTATCTATCTACCAAATGGTGCGATTTATAATATAACTCAACTAACAAAAAGGATGCCGCAAAATTATATGCAAGAAACATAACCATATCATATCCTTGCATTATCAACTGTTTTGTAATGATTTATGGCAAAATGCCATTCGCGCGTTACAAGTATGATTCCGTTTAGCTACCGCATTTAAAATTTTCCTGTTGCGATATCGCATTTTATTTTACACAATGTACAGTATACAGCTACAGACAATATTTGAAAAGCCAATGTCTCTATTTTCCTTACACATGTATATGTAGATGACAACTACAATATCGCTTGCCCTGTTATTGTGACGTGTGTATGGCTGTTCTTGATAGGCTTACTTGATAAAACAGCACAATCGTCACAATTATCATTCCCCTTCCTGCTTTATGATAACGCGTGTTTGATTTGCAAGCATAGGTATGGCAAAAATGCACCATGATTTTATGCAACAGATAATTGTCCATAACCTACGTGGCCGCACAGTTAACTATCACTTAGTCTCGAGTACCGCATAAATACGGACTACGTATTTGATATACAAACAAATTATGGGCCGGTTTCGCTGGTTTCTTATATGGTGGTGAGAAGCTTCACTCTGAACACTTCTACCTCTTCTGCTTTAAATTGCATGATGACATGTATCGTCATGCACAGTCGATTGGCTTGTTTACATGCATTATATAGTCAGGGAAGCAAATACCGGCCTGTGTCTGAATGAGGAAAGTGTGGAGATTACCACACAATACTGTTCCTCCTTGCCCTCAAACGACAAACACTGTCATTGTGCTTGAAATAATTGTAATGCTCAGGCGTACATGTAGTGTCGGTATTTATTTCAAGCATTATTAAAAAGGCCGATTACAGTATACATATGGAGTTATAGCCAATATTACAAAAATATACAAATTGTAGAAACAGCTACTGCGAAATGGCGAAAACGTTTAAATATATAATACACTTATATATTGTGATCTCAATAAGATTTGAGGTAAGTCCTTAAAAAATAGTCAAAGGCGCGGCAATAAACTGTAGAGTTGTGTCCCTTACGTCCGCCAACATCCGCATTTCGCGGGTTTGAATCCAGATTTTTTCCTTACTATCCTTATCAGCACCACACCGTTGTTCCTGGGTTTCAGATCAGTGGTTAATATATGGCTTTCCCCCTCACATGGAGCTAGAATATTGTTGCAACTTAAATACTGTTCAATAAATCAGAGCGACAAAATTATTTCCATAATTATACGAAATATCTGCAGTAAGCGAAACCATTGTACGATTCCGACTATATCATGACTATGTGATTCTGAATGACTATAAAATAGTGATGCTACCAGTTTTCGCGAAATCATTCAATTCACACACTGGCTGAGATCCATATAGTACACAATCATAGTGGTAACAGCCTAACAGTAATTTAGAAGAAGAAAATCTAGGGGTGTGACATATACATTTCAAGGGCATACAGCCCTACTTTTCTCTCGGGATTACTCCAAGACCAGATACTAATTGCACATGTGCTGGAGCCAAACTGAAACCAGTACATGACACGAATGAGCATAACATGATTATCATAGAGTCATTATCTTGTCTGTGTTACATTTACAGAATGATTGACTGGTGATAAATCAAAGGTTTTGGTAATCTTGAGTAGCCGCCACCTCATGTGCAGTTTCCCCTTTAAACTTGGAAGTCTGTTCAATAATGTCACAGTTGTTGACATCAGCTCCCGCTGACAGTCCTGAGTAGGTGGGGTGTTCAATGGAAGCTGGGGCGTCTCCTTGTTTCTTCACAGTAAGATCGTACCGACGCCTGAAAAGACACGTAATTGGAAACTATAATCTGTAGGATAAGGGAATGAAGACGTCAGATCAGTTTCAGTTGAGGGTAAAATATCTGATCATCATGGCGAATATCCCATTGCGATTCCCCACATCTGTAAATTGGTAAATCCCAATCGTGGTGTCATCTGCTTTGATATGACAGGAGGGATTTGCAATAGTAAATCACATTTCACAGCTCAGATGGGTGTTATTACTGGGCGTCCTTTCAAAGTACAGTGTTTCACTACATGATCCCGGAAAGGTAGCTTGTGAATGTGCTTTGAAATATACCTTACAACGAAGACGTACACTGCAAGACCGATCAGGATGACAATAACAACCCCGACAGCCACCCCTCCCACAAACACACCGGCTGAAACACGAAATAGACCATGTTTACCACAGAGAACAAGAACGGGAATACTGTTAATAATTCAATGACATTCAATGAAAAAACCCATTTGAAAACAAAACATTTTAGAAAACTTCCATACACTACACTTGATCTTCAATGGATGCATGCAATATCTCAACTTCACAAGTACAAATACCAACAAAACCTGACCAACCATTGAGTACAGTATGCAACGTTGCACGTAGCCAAAACCTTTTCTATATGTACAGGTACAAGTCGGTTTGTAAGTTGCATCGACGATACATTAAGCTATCACAGCAAAAAAAATGCGGTTTCCGGTATCCGGATACCTGCCGGATACCACCGGACACTTACCCAAAACGCGTCCGGGTATCCGGTGGCAGATACCTTGCCGGATACCAGATCCGTGGTATCCGGCATGGACACCTCACCGGAAAGTATGCCACCTGGAATCCGGGTATCCGGCACGGATACCTCACCGGATACCTCAATCTGGGTGTCCAAGGATCCGGCATGCATACCAAGGATCCGGCACCGGATACCTCATTCTGAGTTTCCAAAAACATGTCACAATTTGGGGGTGCATTTTGTTCAATTATGTGTGAAACACCTAAATGTATATTGGAAACTAACCAAGAAAATTGAACATTGCTGAAGGTATCCGGAAGGTATCCGGCAGGTATCCGGATGCAATTTTTCGAGATGTCTTATTTCTGGTAAATAATGTTAGCCTGGGCATAGCAGATAGCTGTAGTAATATTCTGTGTCATTTTAGTTGTAAATATCCCCTTAAAGTTGAGATCTATGGGGATGTACTTTTGGAGAAGACACTTTTTTCAATTTCATCTATAATTCTTTTTAATGAACAAACATCAGTTCTAATACATGTATGATGATATCCTTAAATTTCATGTTCAGACTTCCAGATTGTTCTAAGTGAAAGTATAAACTCATCGACTGTGTGTTCTCTTGGGCCTTTGGTCCTAGTGAGATGATAATATGATTATTTGTAAAGGTACAAGTACTTGTTACGAGCACACCAGCTTCAAGTTTGAAACACAATATGCCTCACTCTGAGGGTGGCATGTACCAGATTTCATCACACTACAGAGAGCTGTTCCTCAGTTACTGTGAAATTTTTTACTGAAAGACATTGAAAGCTAATTTGACCCTCAATATCAGTTGCGACTAATTCAAAAACAATTGTAAATTGGTTCATTCAGTGTAATATTGACAAACATATGACAATGATAAACAACTATATGTATAAGAGTTATTTACACTTCTGCAGGAAAAGGCACATTAGAGAACAAGAGTCATCAGAAAGATGACATATCCCCCCGGCAGCTGTCTGTAAAGTAACCACTAGTAAATGTGCAATTCTGTATGTAATGAGTCAACAGTTTAAAGTTCTTTAAGAAGCATACATTGTTTACCCACAAAAAAATCCATCATGGTCGCATCCATATGAATGCAAAGTTTCAATCAAATACATTGAATGGTTTTCGAATTCTGCCCCAGAAACGAACCTCATCCCCAATTGAGTCTATGTCCAACTTCAACCCATAAAAAGTTAAAAAAATAAAAATTAGAAAAATCCAAAAATATCAAAAGGCACCACTTCAGTATATGCCTGATAGCTTTGCCAAGTTTCGATCAAATACACTGAATGGTTTTCGAATTCTGCCCCGGAAACGAACCCCATCCCCAATTGAGCCTATGTCCAACTTCATTCCATAAACATTTTAAAAAATAAAAATTATAAAAATCCCAAAATATCAAAAGGCACCACTTCAGTATGTGCCTGGTAGATTTGCCAAATTTCAATCAAATACACTGAATGGTTTGGGAATCCTGCCCCGGAAAAGGAAATGATAACGGACGGACAGACGGACTGCCGGGGGATAAAATGTAAGTGTATGACCTTTTGCCAACTTCTATCCCTACCCTAAGGAACAGTTTCGTCATTAACAATTTTTTGTCTGGCTATGACATTGACCTTTGACATAGCAGATCAATGTGTTATTCCAAAGATGTCCAAGCAATGCATGGTTTCATACGATAACTGTGGCTATCAAACTGAGGCAAAATATTGGAAAATCCCCATTTACACAGCTGGCTAAAGAAACATAAACAACAAACAAATTATCAATTTCTTTTATTTATATGCCTATATCACACATTGAACAGTGTTAACATGATGGTTCCTGATGCAGTATGCAATTTCCTCCTTTTCTTCAATACTCATAACACAGCGGGATAACTGTTTGCTTGAAAGCATCAGCAGACCATGCTCACCAGTTCAGAGTTACTTGCCCTCAAACCTCCTTTTCCTTCTATATTGCCATGGAAAAACAGGAACCAGGATGAGGGGAGGCCAGATTGGCTCTATCCCTGTTGCATTGTGTTAGTAGAATTGTGAACATTCTATTTGGTGTTTGGGTCCACATTTATAGACAAGTAGTCGCAAACATCATTCCTTTCAAGTGATTACCACATGGCCAAAGACAATAATTTCTTCAACGTCCTTGAAGGGTCCCACTCCGACTTGGCATTGGTTGGTCTTCTCACATTAGCCAGACCAGCCTTTGTAAGTTTGTCCCAGTGTCAATTGGGATATAACTTCTTGGTAGGACCCCATTGAAATAACAGGACTCTCCTCATCGCTGTCTACCAATCACTTCGGATATCTGGAAGGGGCCTCCCAGACTGTCAACCTGTCATCCGGGTATCTCAAGCTGGACTTCAGTTTCTGCAAAATTATGTATAAAGATTGTAGCAATAGAAAAGAATTGTCGCAACATGTACTTACAGATAAAAGGCAGCAAATTCACTTAATTTATCATCTTTGAGTTTTGTTATATACCAAACACTTGAGATATATATTGTTCCATGCTGATGAGTTGAAACGATCATTAACTGACATCTCTTAACAATGTTCCTAGCAACCTATGCTTGCCATACAAGCCAAAGTAATAGATGAGGTAGCAAGTGGGCTCATTGATCGCTCGTAATCGTCTCCAATAACATGGGATGTTGTCATCATCGGTGCGTCTGGATCGAGCTCATAACATTAATCACTGGTTTGTCTAGTTGAGATTTGATTATTTATAATCCTTGTCATTTAGCTGAACTATTGCTGGATGTGGTGTTAAATGAGTGAATTGGGTTTAACGCCTCTTTGAACAATATTCCAGTTATATCATGGCATGTAAGCTTGATTTTGGAAGAAAGCCCGAAGTGATGCAGGTCTTACATGTTTACCACTTTGATGAAACCCACAAACAAGTGTATGATGCTACCCTCGATTCAAACCCACGACCATCGGTTTCTGTCAAGCCTAAGAGATGCAACTATGCACAGCAAGTTGTGGTGCCTTTGATAATTAGGGCATCCATGCCAACAGGTGATAAAGAACAAGCAAACTGAAGAAATATTTGCAGAATAGCTACATGAACATGATGAACTAAACAGAATAATTTCAAATATTTACCACTCACTGATACTCTTCTCTTGTTCCTCATTGCTTCCCTTTTTCCATTGATGCTGTGCAGATGACTGACTCATTCATTCATCCAGACATTCTGCAAACATAAGTAGCATTCACATTACATAAATATCCAAACTGTACATGCTGTACATTGAATTCAATTGAAAAGGCCCCAGTTGAGTTTCCAACTTAGAACTGTCCTTATTAAAATATTTCATCCCAAACATTCAGAGATAAAACATAACCCCATATTTAACAACTGTCAAACAATTATTTGACAACAAAGCCAGGGTCATTCAACAAAGACTTTACATAGGGAATCACTTGTTGCAAAAAAGATCCTCGTCAAGGTCAGAGTCATTCCATGAAAAATTGAATTATTAAGTTATGAAGCTTATACAAAACAAGGACATAACAGTGTAATTATAAAAATATGTTAAGCGTAAAAAAAATAAAGTCTTTGGTGGCCATTATTGTAAATTATAGTATGTATTAGCATCCCACGAAAGTTTAGAGTTCATAATCGTTCCTAGATCTTTGTACTTTTCTTCACTATCTATAAAAAGCGGATCTAATTTGGATCATCTTGTTTTGACCACAAATCCATTACGCCCCTTATGCAAATCCTTGTCGTCATAACAAACAGTTGACCATAATACTAAAAAAAGGACCCTTGGCGTTTACGGTAAAGTATGTAGAGCAGGAAAATATCTAAATCAATCCGTTCCATAAGATCTCTGCACAGAAATCATAAGGTCACGAAGCCCTGCTACGTACCTGGCATCCGCATTTGCTGCCAATCGCCTTTCCAAATACTGTTGACTTTCGCGTTGTGGATGGCTCAGAGGAACTTCGGCCGGCATTTCCGTGGTGGAGGTGAATGAGAACAATGTATCGATACACGAGGTAAGCTTATCGTAATCAAGCATAACAGCGTATATCGATACACGAGGTTTGTTTACATCCATGTTCTAAAATGGCGCCCTGGACCGTAGGGGAATATGGGTAAAATGGCCTGTTCCGGGTTAACACTAAGCTGGGCCCCCGTCTCTAATATCACAATATTGTTCGGCGCAAGTTGACGACGCGCATAGAGAGCCGGGAACCAGGTTAATACGACATAAGCTGGTTCCCGGCTCTCTATACGCGTCGTCAACTTGCGCCAAGTTATATCAGCGACGAGGCTCAGCTTATACACTGAACACGATCGGTCATTTCGTCAAAATTGGCCAAATATTGAGATTGCAGCTGAGGTCATGCTTGCAGCTGAAGTGACACATTAAGGTAAGGAATATGTTAATATTACAATGAACACTTATCAAAGTAATTTACCACATGTAAGCCTGTCACATGTGACACATTAACTTTTATAGCCAACATGTAAGTAAATGTATAATTATATTTTGATATAACAAGTAGCCTGTCTTTCATATGTTAGTATTTGCTTATGTATATAATGTAGAAATATGTTTACTTTAACTGGATAATTTGTATGCTAATGTGACTCACTGTCTTATTTCATATACTCCCTTTACTCTGTGAGATGATTAATAATAGCCTCAACATATTATTCCAGATGTGAAGAATCAAGAACAGTTTTAATGACAGGGAAGTTTTGCATCAGAGATCATCGTGAAGTGGAAGATAAGACATTTTAAGGGTATGAACATTTTCACTTGAACTAGTTGAACAATAACCATGATGACAACTTTATCCTGGGGGAATTTTTGGTGGCGGGGTAGCCTAGTGGTTTAAGCATTCACTCTTCGTGCTGAAGACCGATGCAGGTTTGATTCCTGCCACATAGCTGCGATATTGCTGAGTGTGGCGTTAAACATCAAACAAAGCTAACAAAGCTAAATGGAAATGCTAAAACATCTCCCAATATTAACCATGCTATTACAGAATCTGTTCACTTGTTTTTGTATGTAAAATATTTTTGAACGATTACATCCATCTAATGATTGTTTGTATGTGTGACATGCCAGTAGACGTATATATGTACAAGCATGTGCATATGCATATACAAATTATGTATGTTTGGCTAGGTACCAGTATATGAATGAGTTGTTTTGTGCGACTTGTATATTAGCATCATCATAGTTTCAACAGACAGTTTATGTATATCAAATGTTAAATGTCTTTGTAGGGAGAATTGTCATTATTTTATTACTTATGAGTAGAACTTTTTAAGTATCTGGCATGATACATTTCCTTGGTCCACAGAAACATGTTACCAGTAAACTGACTTGATAAGTAGCATAGCAGTCAGTGTGGTTGGAAACTAACTAAGCCGTCACTACTCAATTAAGTAATTAACAGATAATTGCAAGTGATAATACCCACCTGACACTAATTGCCCTGTTAATCCCTAATCCACCATGAGTTGACATTGAGTTCATCTTGCTAATGAGCTGTTGTGAGCGTAACGAGATGATAAACATCAAAGGTGGGGCAGGCTTTGATAAAGTGTTCTGTAGAAGAGATTATGTCACTTATTTAATGTTTATTTAGGATTAGCTACATCCCTTGATGCTACCAAGACCATACTTGAGATTATCAGACAGTTTGTCTGGATACAACCTGATGTCTCAGCTGTATTTATTGGATTCTGCCTTTTTGCAAACTATGTGTGTGACAAGGACTTTGACCACTCTGTGCAGATGCATAACAATGCATATTGAACTTGGGGTATGATTCAATTATGTCACACAAGTCAAATATGGGTTCCACTTTATTTAGAAACAGACGATAGATGCAATACTGTGTAACTTTATAACAATCAAATGAGTATTCAAATAGGAATACACATATATTTACAATTACCCTTGAAAAGTTCCAAAACCAAATAGAACTACTTATATTATGATTACACTTGACCAATATATTTGGCAGTTTTTCCCGTTATTGTTAATCTTAATTAACGATAGGATAAATGATAAAAATATGATAATGATTTTACTCATGACTATTCATGGGCCGATACAGCTTTTTTTAAAAGTGGGGGTGCACAATTAAGATCTATTTATTGTCTTTGGTGGTAATTTATACAGAAATAAAGATTTTTTTCGAAATAAAAGGGGGGTGCGCACCCCAGCACCCCCCCTCTGTATCCGCCCATACTATTGCCAGCAGCCGAATTAAGGTCCCTTAAATGTAATATACATAGTTTTTAGTCGATTGTTCAGGTGGTTCTTTTCAGTTGATTTTTTGTATCAGTGTCTATTTTGGCCTACCAATTAATGGTAGATATTAAATATCAATAATAAGTGAGATAATTATTTTCAGTTGCAACTAAAGCAAGGAACGATTCAAATTAAGCCTGATTCAGCTGCTACATTGAAATGTATTTGCTCCTCTAATCAGTAATTCAATCAGTTGTATAGTGACTTGATATTTGGTGAAAATATCTGTTGTATGAAATCCTTATGTTACTTACTTTTGTTTTGAGATGATATTTGTATTTGGTAGCCTAGTGGGTAATGTGTTCTCCCCGAAGCACTGGGTTCTGTTCCCCACATGGGTACTGTGTGAAAAGCCCATTTCTGGTGTCCCCGCAGATATATTGCTGGAATATTGCTAAAAGCTGTGCGGAACTATACTACTTACTTACTTACTTTGGAGATTTAACGTGCGCTTTCCGACTGATGCGTATTTCGCACACGGAACTATACTAACTTGCACACTCATTATATAGTATTTTGATAACACTTACATGACTTGTGTGGCTGAAAGTTTTGATAGTTATGAATACCGTATTCGACGTAATAAGCGTCCAGGGCGCTCTCAAAATTTCGTGGTTTATGCTGGCAGCCTGAAATGTTTATGTATGACAAATATATTTTTCCAGAATGAAAATCCCCATAATTAAGGGTGCATATCACACACGAGTGTGTATTATACGCAAATAAATAAGTCTTGTATACATTGATCAATTGGAAAGGGTGCTAATTGGGATTGTTCACTAGCCAATATTTTAGCAAATATTCCCGTTGGCACTTATTAGAGCGAGGCGCTTATTACGTCAAATACGGTAGTTCTGTTTTTATGTATAAGAACCTGTTTTATGCAATTTGCATTGCCTTGTTTACCCTTCCTTATGTTTTGATGTAATGCAAACATTTGAGAAAAATTCAGGTGAGCCTGCCTTATGGCACTACAGGAATTCTTTTCAGAAGATCAATTACAATTTTGTATTTTCTGTAAAATTTACTGTTTGCTATGGCTTTTTTACATTGGTTAACATGGTTTGGTTAACAGTTGCTTGATAAATTGTCATTACCTTACTCATTGAGAAACCAACTTTTTACCCTTTGTCAATATATGTGTGTTTCTTATATTTTTAATAACAAGCTTTTAAAGATGTTATAAATTGTTTCAGGCACCTGGATTTCACAATGACACCAGATCAGACAAGTCATACAAAGGACTCTCCGGATGATGAATAATCCTCCCCAGAACAACTAACAGGTTCACCTCAGAAAGTGATGATTCTGAATGAATAATGCCACATCAGTGTGATTCTGTAGGTTGTTTTATTACGACATTAATCGTGTCTAAAGGAATTAATACCACAGCAGTGAGACTATGTTTATGTGGTGTACACTGATGCTGACTATACAAATCTGAATGACGTTTGTGGTTTACTGCACAAACATAATTGACTTTAGATATTCTTCTACCTTGAAATTCTTCTGAGATTTGACTAATTTGTTTATTTAGAAAATGGCATTGAAGCATCTGTTTCAGATTTTGAATGTTCTTGCACCTCTGGTTACTGAACCAATGAAATGTCATAAATCAATAAATATGTTTTTTTATCTGAACAATTGTTTTGTTTTGCTTCTTTAAAGAAATATGATATTGATCATTCATAACAAAGGTGCTAACATATATCAAATATACTAATGCCCTGAATGTTTTCCTACAATCCTACAACAGCTCACTGAACGAAGTTTTTAGTTCCATGTCAGTAGAAAAATTACATTGATATTTTTATGTACCAGTACTTTATTAGGTGTTTTCTATGGATGCCATTAGTCTTATGCACCCATTTGGGTTAATGATATTCTGTTTCAAACTTCAACAAAACTCGTCTGTCAAGATGTAACAAGTACTGATACAGTTCCAAAATAATCTTTTAATCTCACCAGGAACAAAGGCCCAAGTGAGCACATAGCCAATGACTCTCAATTTTTTGTCAGAGTGAGTATGGTGTTATGCCACTTTACAAAATTCCAACAATATCATGATGGGTGACACCAAGCAATGTACCGATGTGGTGAATCGAACGCTTCAACCACTAGGCTAGAACAAACTGGGAATATGAAGATGAAATGTAAGGATACCATCATACCAGGACTGAATGCTTTTCATTTAATACACTTAACATCTAAAATGAAATATATATGAACTTGAAAAATGTTTTCAACAAAAGTACATGCCCAACTTTAAGGGGATATTTACAACTAAAATAACACAGAATATTACTACAGCTATCTGCTATGCCCAGGCTAACATTATTTACCAGAAATAAGACATCTCGAAAAATTGCATCCGGATACCTGCCGGATTCCTGCCGGATACCTTCAGCAATGTTCAATTTTCATGGTTAGTTTCCAATATATTTTTAGGTGTTTCACACTTAATTGAACAAAATGCACCCCCCAAATTGTGACATGTTTTTGGATACTCAGAATGAGGTATCCGGTGCCGGATCCCTGGACACCCAGATTGAGGTATCCGGTGAGGTATCCGGTGCCGGATACCCGGATTCCAGTTGGCATACTTTCCGGTGTGGTGTCCATGCCGGATACCACGGATCTGGTATCCGGCAAGGTATCTGCCACCGGATACCCGGACGCGTTTTGGGTAAGTGTCCGGTGGTATCCGGCAGGTATCCGGATACCGGAAACTGCATTTTTTTTGCTGTGTATCTACTGATTACCCTCAGAAGGTGCTAATTTGTTTGATGTTTTAAACAATCGCGTATGAAATCCTACAATGAATAATGCTCACCTGGGAATTGTGAAGAGGTGGATACAGGAGATCTGCCCCCAGTTGACCCAGTGTTGAATCCCACTGTGAAAAGATGGACAAACGTTTATGTGTTGACATGATCAACAATGAGTATAACCGATCGATGCAAAACATACGGATATATATTTTTGCATTTGGAATAGTAGATGAGGTGAGGTGAAATGGGGTTAAACGTCGCGTCCAAGATTATTGCAGTTATATAGCGACGTGCATGCACGTGTGTGTGTGTGACTGCTTGTTCTAGTCCGAACTGATGCTGATTTATAGTGCTAGCCCACTGAGATACCATGCCGCAGTTTAACATGAATACCCCACTCAGACACAGTATACTGACTCCGAGCCGACCAGTCCTTTTTTAGCCCCTAAATGCCGAGCGCCAGACAGGGTAACAACAAGTACCATCTTTGAACGTCTTTTGCTATGACGCGGCCGGGGATCGAACTCCGGACCTTTCGCTCTCCGGGCGGACGCTCTACCACTAGACCACGGAGGCGGTCTTGGAATAGTATATCAGGAACTAGATAATGCAAATATTTAATGAGCTATTATTACAATATACAAACAAAACACATGTGACATTGCATTGATAATGATTAACGTTATGGATGCTAATGATAACAAAGGTCTGAGTGTAGAATGCACTGTTCCAGAATATGTACTTTGCGAATTTGTTAACAATTCCCATCTGGGGAGGAGCCTGTATACAATACGAGTGGAACATAATCGTCAGCAATCTTATCGTGACCTTGAGATCAGATCGAAATAGACTCAAGCTCAGGTTTATGAACTATTATAAAACTTCACTTAAGCAAGAACCTCAACAGAGCTGAACGAAATATAAACTTAGGTTATAGATATATTCTGTACTTTAAGCAAAAAATGTACTCCGTGACAGGTTTCAACGAATAGCATGTTTTATGAATAATTTGAAAATATATAATTTTGTAACTTTAATGGAAATGTATTGCATCCGTTAAACAGGTACTTTTTCGTATTTTTGCAATGAAGAAATAACGTAACTGTTATTTGCAGTGTGAACTAACGTGATGCAAACATTTCAAACATTATATTAAAGACATTATCTCACAATAGTAAGACGTGGTATAATGCCGTTATTACTAACGCATATCTTATTTTAAAAAATGCATCTTGCTTGATCTGCATTCAATATGTGACTCATACAAGGGTGCAATGTATCGCCCTCGACTCGCAAATTCTTAGGAATAACAAAGCTGACATGCAATATGTTTACCTTTCGAGGTAGTTTCTGAATTAGAACCGTAAATGTTTTGGAATGTGTAATAATATCAAAAGACTGTACTGTACATATACTGTATATGTTGCATCCAATGTGACTGACAATGGTACAATTTGTGGAGCCGAACTATTTCAATGCCTGGGCTATATTTTACAAAGTTTAAAGTAATTAAAATAAGTATGCATATATATTGTGAGTGAGTGTGGGTTGACGCTGCTTTTGGCAATAGTCCAACAATACCACGGCGTGTAACACCTAAAATGATCTTCACACATCGTACTCGTGTGGTATGTATTTGTGATATTGAGAACTACACTAAACATTTCAAATGAAGCCACTGATTGTCTTTATCCCCCAACGTTAACCCGGTTGATATACACGTGCTGTCGCCTGTTGTGGAAACAAGCCTGTTTTATTACAGACACACGTTGGCTATTTAGATAAAAATAGTGCGCATGGCAATATCACATAACAGTTTATGCAGCATGTACTTGCAAAAAAAGGTGAACATCTGGACATGGCGCCTACCTGTGCTTGTCACTGTTTCAGTTTCGCACTTCACATTGAAAGGGTCTGATGCTGCAACACACAGAGTAACATATGAGGATATAATTTTCAGAAATTGAGATGTTTGGTAGATTTATTTTTATTATACACAATCAAACATTGTAAATAGATAATGTCATGGTAATGATTCCTATACAACGACACATGCTGTTGCTGGGGGTGAAGTACGAAAATAAACTATATGATACACTACTCATTCTCACCATTGATCAGAAGCCACACTAATGCTGATGGCGGCCTCATAATATCTGAGAAGTATAGCGATACCGGGAGCTCCGCTGTTACGTTGAGTCTCTCAAACGGTATGAACAGAGTTGAACAATTATTTGTTGTGATGACATCCCCAGGTAGGACAGACAACTTTGATAAGCATCGCTCTGAAGTTCCTCGTCCTGACCGCGCGTCAAGAGTATACACTGATATGCTTGTAGCGGTGACATTAGACTTGAAAGTGCACAAACAAGTGTTGGTTTGTGGTGTTGAACTTGGTATCCTTTTATCTCCATGTGTGAGTGAGACTTGAGACAAGCCTACTGCAACCCCTCCACTGATGTTCAATGAATCAGTTTCTGAAACATTCATAAATTCAATCAATAGACACTTCAAGATAAACCTTTATGTCTTGCAGGTACCATATCCTAACCCTCGTTACATAAGTGTTGGTTAGTCTTTAAGAATTAGACACCCTCTGTTCTCCATGGGTGATTGAGACTTGAGACATACCCTGTGCAACTCCTCCACAGATGTACACTGAATCATGTCTGCAACATTTAATGTGTATACGTGCCGTTTGTGCTATCACGTTTGATATAACATTATCTACATGTATTAATTTCACACTTTCTGCATGCGCCTCGAGATTTGTACAAATACATAGAGATGTACGTAATCAAACTCAATGATCAGTTCATCGGTTGACCAGCTGAGTAGTCATGATTACAATAGGTTGATGAATGGGTTACGAAGATTGACGCCATTATGCTCTTTACTCAAGTTAAACAGGTACTGAATAATAACCACAAATTAAATATGAGATAGGTTAAACAGACGCATAATTCAACACATACTTGCAAACATTATATATAAATGATGTACGCATGTATCATATAATAAGTATTCGAGTGACTGTATGCTTGTCTGCCAACGTGTATTTTTATCAATTTTATAATTACCAGACATGTCACGGCGGGCAACACCTACAATGAATAATTGTAGTAATAAAATTACAAAATAACTGCACCCTTGTGGAAGGGGGTGAATCAGGAACTCCTGCCTTCTCTTATATCTTAAAGCCGTTAAAGAATTACAGGTGAACTCTGAAACATAACTAAGTTTATGTCCTCGTTTTTCTGTCATTAGTCTGTTATTGATTGCATTGGTATGTCACAGCAGATCAATACTACACCTTGGTGGGAGGCAGGATACATACACCGATTTTCTGTCGAACAGTTGTAAAGCGGGGCCTGACAACCATGCTCTGTCACAACTATATTTCACAGTTCAAATAGAATAAACGACCTGCTCCACATGTAGTTATCATATCATATTTGCTGCCTGTAGCAATCTCTTACAAACATTCATTGCACACTACACATTAATCAAACATGTGATAGTTCATCACCACTGAATCTGAAGTTCACCCAACTACATATAGGAAGCTTTCCCTAATCAAAACAGTAGCAACAGAGATCAATTATCCATATGCTACCAATAGGAACCTACCTTTAATGCACTGATATTTCACAACAGAGAATGCAAGAGCTGCACCACGCCGGGGAGCAGGATACACACACTGAGTCTCTGTTGAACAGTTGTCGTAGAGGGAGACCAGCTCGGCGTTGTTGAACCTGTGATATCCACGTTCTGTCACACTGTCTGGGTTCACTGAGCAACTAGAGATACCTGTTCTACACTCTGTATTGTCAGTGTAATATGCGTCATAGATGGCGATCTTCTGGTTGCTGCTGCAGCTGAGCACATGCCGAGTACATTGGAGGCCATACTGTCCATAGCATGTTTTACTGGTATGTGTTGTACCTACATAAATGACACAACATACATGTGTGAACACATATTGTGAAAGTAAATTAGTTTGAATGTATTATTTCTGATTGTACCGTCTTTATCTCTATTGTCAATCACTCACTTTTTTCAGGAGTATGCCTACTCATTGATAACCTGGAACGGATGCACACTCTGTATTGTCGGTATTGTATACATCATACCAACTCACTCAGCAATATTCCAGCTATATGATGGCTGAATACAGGAGACGCCATGCATAACAGTATCTGCCCTGCTAGCCCGTCCTTTGGAATCTTCACGTTTTGCCACTTAGTTAATGTTACAATTGATGTGTTTCCAGAAACATAAGGCGATAAATGACACATTAGGTGTACAAGCATATGTCTAATGCAAAATTGGACAATCACCTGTGCTTTGAGTGTTTATAGTGGTAGTGTCGAACATATATATCGTGAACATATGTTATGCCAATATATGACATGAGACAACATCATATATTATACAATTCTGATCAATGCACAGCATATTATAGCTTCACAGATTTCATAGATAATATCCCAATTGTGTGAAACGGAGTATTGCTAAATATTTTGCAGATGTGAAGTTGTGGTAGCTGATGGTGTCTTTTATTGTATGTACTACAAAAGTACCTTTCTGTATATATAACTGTTTCTTGTGTGTAATCAGATTAATGTACATGTAGAGTACATATAGTTTGTTTGCTTTTTATACGCCGTCTGTTATTGCATCTGTACATGGCCCATCTTCATGTGAAATTTGGTTTGAATCACAATAAAGATCATAACTTGAGAACAAGTGTTTCGTATCATGTGAAAATACAACTCCGATTGGAACATTTTCACATGTACGAGTTTTACGCCATAGACGATATCCTTAAGTCTCGGGATCATAAAAATTGGAACCTCATTCCATTAGGAGAAGACCGAGATTTTATGTGGAATTGTGGGTTAGATCACACAGATATTCATGACTTGAGACAAACGTTTAGCATCACTGAAAATACATCAACGATTGGGACATTTTCACATGTATGACTTTTACGCTGTTAGAAAATATCCTTACCAGTATCAGTCTCTGAGGCTTGAAGATTTGTGTGTTATTGCATCTGTACATGGCCGATCTTCATTTTAGATCTGGTTTGTACGACCAAAACAGCATGACTTGAGACACAGTATGGCATCACGGAAAATACATTAACGATTTCAACATGGCGGCGGATTTTTAATAATCGAGTCTGGGCCAGACAATGAAGTGATTTACATCATGTGAGCATTGATCTACGCAACCGGCCACCCGATACCGTTGGTCTCCCCTTCCGACAATCATGGGTTGCTGAAGATCTATTCTAACCCAAAGTCTACACAGACACCCCTCGATACAATGGTGTATGAAATCGGTAAATGGAAATTGATAGTAAATATCCTGTAGTATGAATAAACATTGTATTGAGTGAACCTTCCTTTTATTTAGGATTCAATAATGAACATAACAGTACAGTAAATAGGTAAGATTTAACTGGTAGTCAACGTTCATAATACAAACAGCAACTGTCTGTGTTTCCTAAACAGTGAGTGAGTGAGTTGGGTTTAACGCCGCTTTTAACATTGTTCCAGTTATATCACGGCGTTTTTCCTAAACAGGCATGTAAGAAACATTATAGTGCTGCTGAAACTAGAAAATTAGGAGCTTGAAACTGAATTTAGAACTACAATATACAAAAACAAAGAGATAACTAATTCACTACTATATGTAACTTTCCGCACTTGTCAGTGGAACAATAATACAGTCATGTAAATTTGTTTGATTCTCCACAAAGCGGTATCATGTGTATCATTACTAACTGCAACGTCCAGGAGTCAGGAGGTTATAGTTGCTGAGGAATTTCGTTTCCGTGGGAAGGTGGTTTATCTGAAGACGACTGAAGACGAGATAGGAGAGAAAAAGGTGCATTTTAATGTTAACCTTATGATAGGGGCATGAGTTATGTTGTTTTATTTGAAGGTAAACAAGATTTCGTGTCCATCATATTCCAACATCATGGATCTGCACAGCCCAACTGAAACTATTATATGTAGAACTGATTGAAACATAAATGTCCTACATTCTTACCAACAATATTCTTGGTTAATGTTGGAAATATGAATGATATCATATGAAAGTTGTAAAACTCAAAACATGATTTAGTTGATAGGCTTGGTTGCTTTTTATACAATCTAGCCACAACCAAGCATGATAATATTGCACATACGCGGATTTGTAACGAACGCGCATGAGTATTATATTTACTGAAAGATTAGGGTTCATTTGAATAAGTCCTTACCTGTATAAACTGATTGCAGGGTGTAGAATAAAATGGCTATACCATTCGTTAAGCCCACAGTCTTAGTCATACTAATGTTGTGTAGCCTGCAAAGAAGTCAAAGATGTGCAAAAGTAGCTTTGATCTTTGGTAAATATTCCATACGCAGTTAAGGTTATTCTTAGCCAATCGATATAATTTCACAACACTTGAATGAAATAATGCCGCCTCAGTATCTTCGCCAACACCAACTGTTGAGTTTAATTTTATCATGACTGAATGGAGATAAACACTCTTTTCAGTATAGATCTAGGTTACCTGTAGACACGTAGACTGCGCTATATATAATAGTTGAAACTTCACGCTGTGCTTTCAGTTCTAAATTCAATGTAGCAACATCAAATCTAAAGGTAACAAAGCTCGATATTGAAAACACTGTACAGTTTATCTCCGGAACACTGGCTATTGAATGTCATTAAATTCTAGTTGGTAACGTGGAAATCGGTAAATGTACAGCGATAGCGGTCGATCAAAATCTTACCTCCATCCGTATAATAGACATACACACACCTACCTTTTCCACACAGCACTATGTGTCACACATACAACGTCGAGGTAGGCAGAAAGTGCATTACATAGTATCAAATACTGATGTATTTATGCATGCAGTAGGGCTCTTCGACCTACATATATTGGACATAAGCAGATTTGACAGGAAGGGTTAAACTTCGTGACTCATTCAGGATAACAATAGCTCGCGCAGGCGCACGATGAGTTAAGTCGGCATAAGGAAGTTTCATAACCATCTCTTTTTAGGTCTAGACAGCTGAATGACAAATGAATGGGGGTTTGTAAATAATAGTGTGCGTATTTATAATGAGCCAAATCCACACCCTAATGAATGCGCAAAGCGTTACATTATTACCACGTTTAATGCATCATTGAGCACTCTAACTTCATTCTCAGCTCCCTGAGGAGTATGCAACCCAAATTGATTTCATGCATTAGAAGTTTACCAGTCACATTATCTATGTGCTCTATGTGGTTCAATGTGGGGCACGACCCAAACCCTAGAAAAACTCAGGTGTCAAGCTGCTGAACGCGATCAACCATCCCACTACTCTCCGCGGTCGAAATTGGTAAACATCATCTGATTTGTGACCTGTAGTTCATGATATGTTTCAAAGCAAACTGATCCAACAAAAAATATTGAACATACTAAAATATGTTATCTACCATAATATCAAGTGAACAACGTCGGTGGTTAACAACTGTTGTATGTAAAACGTAAATTGTACCCTTGCAGTCCTAGATAGCTAGATAATTGGTATGATCTGTGAAATAGATGTCTGGACACCCAATGTTGTATTCTGAACATTACAATCTTTATCGAAAGAGGGATTACTCATTGTTTTTAAGTTCCTTTCGATATTACTATGAAGGATGTGGAACATCTAGTGCCATCTATAGTTGAATTTTGACACTTTGGATATCGAAAAACCGAAGTAAGTGTCTTCTTTGAAAGGCATATAGAAGTTGGAGTACTTAGCAGTTAAGAATACAATATATGGCTTTCATTGTATTCTGAATGCTGTGACTTTTGGCCTGTTTGGTTATGGGGGATGTTTCTAGGGCTTTCCCTTCAAGGTGGGTCATAAATATCTCGGTGATCAAGGGTGATAGTGGGGATCCCATGGTGAGGCAATGGGTTTATTGATAGATATTATCTCTCCAGATGAAGTATGTTGAGCTGGTATAGGAGTGTATCAGCCGGATGGTGCTGTCAGTTGTTGGTCTGGTATCTAGGGTAGATTTCATCGATGCGGGTTCAGATGACATGAGTGGCCTTATCCCGGGGTACATTAGTGAACAGGTCGACAGCGTCATAGCTGATTAAGGTGCCTGGTTGGGGAATGTCGTGGATCTTCTTGCAGAATTCAGACCAACCTACCACAAAGGACTTGGCAGTCTTCCCAAAAGGTGAGAGGGGGCGGGCAAGGTACTGGGCAGTATTGTAGTCGACAGTGTCTCTGCAGCAGACTAGGAGACGGGCTTGGACGCTTTTTGTGAATTGTTATGTTTGCCCGGGCATAAGATGGCTTGGGGTGAGGGCGGGGCCGATTTCATTGTTGTCCCAAAGTTAGTTGAAAAGGGTCATGCGTTCTCTCTGTAGGCTGTTGGTAGGGTCTCTCTTGAGCTGCTTGTAGGTGGATTAATCGATCACTGCCATTGAGATAAGGTCATTTAAAGTGTCTCTTTGTCAGCATTTTTTTCAGAGAAACTAGGTAAGTTTTGAATGAAAAGGAATAATTTCCAGGAATATTCACGTTTGAAAGTAGTGTTTCCATCCCTGTGCATGCGGACAGGGAGGTACTATCAAAAATGAACAAGTTATACTATCACAAACTACATCATATCACTGAGTATATCAAGTACAGTTGGTAATCATTAAAGTCTATCTTAGAATTCATGTATAATGAACAAGAACAATCTGCAAATATATCGAAGTATATTTTCTATATCTGACAGGGCTGGTGGGGTAGCCTAATAGTTTTAGCTTTTGCTCGTCACGCCTACATGGGTAGGATGTTTGAAGCCCATTTCTGGTGTCCCCTGCCGTACAGCCATACTCCCCCACTCTGTCATACTCTCTATCTATAAACCTTGAAACTTTGTTCAAGTTTTAGGAAGGTATTTATGAGTGAAATATAAAACATCCTTTTGTCATTGCACATTGTGATGCAGCTGAAGAGAAGGTAAGGCTCCACGACACTAAACATTGCATGCTCTTTGTTAAGACACAATGTAATGTTACCCACTCTTTATTATAATGTTCGCCTGTAAGATCTGTGGAATTCCGGGGTAGAATTTATCTCCAGAAACTTATGGGTGTCTTGCTTACTGGTTGTGGTTATCAGGAGGTTCAACAACTTGAAACGACGTTGGTGATTGTTCATAATATCAACCGCCGATTAAAGACTGCAATAAAACATATAAAATGTTCAGGAAGAACAGTTCACAAGCACTCTCAGCTAACAACATCCCTATTATCCTGAACGTACTTAAGGCATGTGTGTCTTAAATGTTACTCGGGACTACTTCTCTTTCCTCAGGTCATCTGTTATTTAAAAAAGGTTTTCTTTTGGAAACAGATAATCAAGTTCAACACATGTATGTTTCTCACTGCCATGTCGAGGTTGCCCTGCCAGGAACATTGTACACATAGCTCTGATAGGTATATTTTTGGTCCCGTGAAGATCCGAGGTAGAATAGGTCTTCAGCAACCCATGCTTGCCGTAAAAGGCGACTGGCTTGTCGTACGAGGCGACTAAGAGGATCGGGTGGTCAGGCTCGCTGACGTGGTTGATAAATGTCATCGTATATCAAATGAGTGTTTATGATGCTCATGATGTCAATCACTAAAATGTCTGGTCCAGATTCGATTATTTACAGACCGCCGTCCTATAGCTGGGATATTGCTAAATGCGGCGTTTAACCACTGACAAAGACAAAAGACAAACTGTATATTTTTTACGACTGGATCTATAGATAATATTAACACGTGTCGGCGTTTATACTTCAAACGAGTTCTCTGAATTTTAAAGTTTGTTTCTATCCTGACGAAGTATAGTATAGTACATACATGTACTTGTAGGTGGCATACATAATTGATACCGATGGATTGGTTTCATCTTCTTAAAACATCTCCTTTTTCTTCTTGAATCTTATTAGCTTCAGTTGAATATATACGTATATTTAGATGTGCACATGAATGTCCAACAACGTAGGTTATTTATTGAATGCTGTAACAGTTACATATCTTCCACATCGCCATGGCCTTTAGTCACATGAATAATGCTTCAAAAATTCAGTTAGGCAACATTAACGTCACTCTATACAGATGTGTATATCTCTATCATTATTGTCGGATAATGTTGCCTTTTACGGAATCTATTTCGGCGGATAATCGAGGTTAGTTATTCTCTGGCGTTGACGTTTTATATTTAAAGGGGTAATCCATGCGTACACGGAGAAGTAATTCGTATGACTACAGCTGCATGGATAAGCAGACTAATAAAAGCCACGCTACACGTATACGATGGTCTATCCCCAACACGGGAATGCTATTCAATATAGTGGATTCAGCATTTGCAACAATATGTCACGTGGTAAAACAATCACAGCTGCTAATAGCAGGTAAATAGCCTTATGTCGTTCACACTTCCATAGGCATGATCATGAGACATTATTATTGATAATGTTGTGCTATTTGTTGATTTAGGTTGTTATCAATGCAGTGTGGAAATGAATCAAAATCAAAATGGAAATGTCATCATCAATAAATCGCATCAAATAACACACCAAAACACGTTTAACTAAAGTGACTATTGCTCATTTGCGGAGTCTATACCTACTCTTAATTAAAAAGAATCGCAATTGACATCGCTACTTGCATTAACTCTAACTGATATATGCACTGGTCTATTGTCCTTATTGAGCAACACCAAGATCAACATTGTCCATTAATAGTCTGGAGGTAGTCCATGAGTAGGAATATTTCACATTGACAGCTGATGGAACAAGCCTTGCGTTTCTATGACTGATAGTGACTCCAGACTTATCCATGATTTCACAAATCAGCTGTCTCTTCTCTTCTCTTCGTCAAAATGACGTGAATTCTAACTATATCATACGAAATGCCTACTGGATAGGAATATGACACGGGATGAGTCGTCGATCATCTACAATCATATCACAAAAATATGACATGTGAAAAAGACTTCATGACCTTGGATCATCTTCGTAGCTCTATCTTTCCTCCTGAACACCACGTCAGCCAATTTGGTCCATTTTCAACAACAGAAATTACCTAACCACTTTGACGCCACCAGCAATCGGCTGCCTGGTTGTGTATAAGATTGAAATGAGCTCTGTAGGCATGTAAAGTATGATGTGCATGAAAATGTAAAGAGTGTATTATCGGATTTCGATCAGAACGTTTCAGCCACTCCTCGTATTACAAAAGTCAGTGTAGAAGGTACAGTTAGTGTATGACACGGAGAATCAAACGAATGATAAGCACGCGTGATGTATGTCGGTGATGCTTCCACTGTGGCCAAGCAGGATCATTACCATACGGACATGATACATTAATACTGATCATGTTATGCTGATTGATATTGATGTAAGTTGTTACCAATGCTTAATGTGGACGAAGTTTAAATATAACTTGAAATGTCATCTTCGATAAAACACATAAACTACACACTAAATCCTTGAATTTACTTTTGTTCTTTGGTGGAGTCTGCATACTCTTGCAAACAGGCACACGATGTCCGGTACTACTTTGACCACGAAGCTTGAAGGTCATTAACCACGGCTGGTATTAAACGTATGAAAATGAGTACTTAAATTATTTCATTGCCGTTGTTGATATGATGAAGTCGACCCCAAGGAAATGATGGATGTGAAAGGTACTATCCAAAGTGACAGATACAGTGAAGAATTAATACTGTAAAATATATCAAAATTTATTTTCTAATATGAACAAAAAGACAACCAAATCAAATGTCTGTTAAAATACAAGGAAGGATTAAAGTGAAAGTGAGTGAGCAGAATTGCAGCTAATCGCGCAGTGTCATCTTAATATAAGAGAATAGCAAATATTACACATGTCTCATTTTGGCACATCCCCAAAGCACAGTGCTAACAAACCAATAACCATGAATTGATCAGGTTGAAACTGGGGCTTGAACAAATGACAATGGATAGTTACACAGCGAATTGTGGTGCCTTTAGATGGCTTGGCTACCCTTGTACAGCTTTAAACATATGAATCTTACATATTAATTTCCGACATACAAAAAAGTTATGTAAATAAGAAAAGCTTTTAGTGCCACAAATCTATTGTCAAGTTCAAGGTAACAATTTACGTAGATGCCGCGTGAATCACAACACACAAAAAAATTCCCATTTTAGGAATTGGCTCATTTCATTTGCTCCGTAACAGAATGATCATAGTTGTCTTCCATTCCTGATGCAGTATCATACGGTGAACTAACAAGGTCATTGGTCACCCTAGGAAAATGGTCATAGTCGTCATCATCAGTGTTCCTATCGGTCCTAGTCAGTTGTGCCACTGCCTTAGTTGCAGAGGCAGCGGTGTCGTAGTCATTCTGGTGTGTCTGAGGGTTGGTTTTCTTGTGGAAAAGATTGTAACCATAATTGTCTTCTCCAATTGTTCCTCCTGTATGTGTAGATTGAGCCACCGAGGCTGTTGTGTCGTATTCACTGGTCTCTAGGGATTGTTTGTCCCCGATGTGATCATAATCGCATTCGGTGGTAGAGGATGTTGAAAACTGTTCTGTATTTTGCTTCCCAGCTGGTTCAATAATGAAATATGTGTCTGCATTTGTAGGAATCGCTATGCCACCAGCAGTAGTGTAATCATAATTACTGTTCTGTGTCTTCAGATCCTGGATTTCATTGTATTTGTTCTGTGGGATTTTACCGGCCAAACTGTATGTCATGTCAGGCTGTACATCCTGTGGAATCGATGTGGTCTCCTCCATTACTTCACGTTTAGCCTGTCTAAAATCAGTTTAGAGAAAACAGATAACTTAAACAGCAATGCATATGGTATTATGAAGAACACACTTCAATATATTTTTAATTTCTTCAACGAATACAAATTTTTGACTTTTCAGTTATAGTGAAAATGTTTGTTCGCGTTGTGTACATTATTGCAATATGCTTAGTAAGAGACTTTGCTGAGGGAGACACGTGCGTATGTTTGTGTCAGTGCAACGGAAACTAACACAGTATGTAAATGAAAATCCCTATAAGAGCTTTAAATAAATGAGTGAATGTGTTGCAGGACCTCTGATAACTGATGCACGTCTCTTATCTCGTGTCACATCATAAAAGTTAAGCTTGTTCCTTCTATATGTCATAGCTATTACCTTGAAGCGCAATGCACGTTTTACGTTGTTGTTGATAGCTACAATGAGCCTAATTAATATGTCACTGTAAAGATACATGAATTTGAATACAATTGAATACTTACCTCTTCCGTATAAGCCCCACTGATACCAATGTTACAACCAATACAACTAAGACTGTGGCCACAACCCCACCAATAATTGCACCTGTGTCATCTTCACTCTGATCTGAAATCAAGCAAAGTCTATTTTCGGTACATGTAACGTGAATATCAAATTTGGCGCTTATATATAACAATACACATTGTTCATAGGTACATTAACTTTTCCCATACAACTTTTCTGTTGCTAATGGGTTTATTCTTCAGTTTGCACATAAAATACGCCCTCGGAGGTCCGGATAAAATTGAACTCAACACCTACCGGGATCGGATGGTCAAGCTCTGTTTACTTGGTTGATACATGTTATCATATGCCAATTGGTTACACACACACACACACACACACACACACACACACACACACACACACACACACACACACACACACACACACACACACACACACACACACACACACACACACACACACACACACATCTATATCTATCTCTCTCTCTCTCTCTCTCTCTATATATATATATATATAAATTATATATATATATATATATATATATATATATGTGTGATTTCAACGTGGTTTGTTTTTGCTCTATTCCTTGCCTCGGTTACAAAATGTTCCCTAAATTGTTTGCAAACATGTGCAATACAACTGTAAAAAGGTAAGTTAAACATTAATGTTTTTTAAGTTAGTTTTTAATATTACTGCCAACACAATATACATGAATGCCATGCCTTAACTCGGTCGTCTAAACTCGTGTACGATTTTTTTTAATTTTTAGTATCTGCTTTCTAAATGTGTTCTTAAACGTCCAAGTTATGTCCCAAGAAAAGAATCCGGGTATTACTCAAAAGGTTCAAATAAAATTATTAATGATTTGTACTAATCCATAAATAGGTATCTTAATCGAATCCATAAATGTATGGCGCATTAACAATGCATCCTACCTGCTGTGCCAGTGTCGTTCTCCCTAGTCACTGTTGAAACTATATTATTGGTTGTTGTAATTGCACTGGATTCTGCAATACAAGACAGTGCACTAAAACAATACAAGTGGTACATACAAAAACATATTTGTATAATATTTTAGTTATATTTTGGCGTGTAAGCTTAATGTTGGAGGAAATCCTATGGAAATAAAAGCTTTTATTTGGGTGAGTTCTAGTGAGCGTTATCTTGTTAAATTCAAGTTATTCTGCTTGACGGACATACATTGTTATATTGTCATTCACAATATGATGCGAAAGGCTCACACTGGTGAGATATACGGAAGGTATCGGTATTTGTAACATAACTCTTCAATTACATAGCTATATGGGCAGCTTTGCTTTATCTGTATATAATTATGTTTCTTACAAGGATATGATGTATTGGCTGTGACGTGCAAATAAATATGTTTTACAAGCCTATGAATAACAGCTGATGACCTTCCTGACATTAGAATATTCATGGTCAATCATGGTCAGGACTGCTTTTGAGTGCGAAATTTGTCATCACAAGAGAGTGGACAGAAACTGTTGTGCATCCAATAAAAGCTTTACTGGCATTACACATGGCCGCTATTGTGTAAGTTTGCACAATTGTTATACTTTCTGGTATTGCGAACTATAATGAACTACCCAATGGCCGCTACTAATGGTCTCTTTTCAAAAACTTACATTACCTGTTGATACATGACTTCTGTCTTTTGTGGAGGAAACATGATCGACTTCTGTTCCCGTACTTGTACCTGTATGATCAGAGTCACGTTTTTTTATATTCAGATACACATGTTGAACGTGACAATAGAACATTACAGAAGTGACCATGCAACAAGTGTATACAAAAGAAATATAGTGTAAATGCGGATACATTTTGTGGTTGCCTACCTGTGCTTGTCACTGTATCAGTTTCACACTCCATATTGAAAGGGACTGATGCTGCAATATGGTACACATAATATAATACAGTTATGTTATCTTACTGCTTATCAATTCAATAAAATAAACTACTGCTGATGACATTGTGTTGTGTGACTACACAATCAAAAGCATGCGAACAATCAGCAAATGATCAATTGAAAAACTTTTGATTAATTTGCGTGAGGGCCTGCGATTTCATACTCTACAATTGAACACACTGTAATAATTCTATAAATGCAATATCTCAGTTTGCCTCAAATATCACCTGTACTGACATTACTCATGATCAACATCGTGGGTCTCCTTTCTAAACATAAGCATATGTGATTTCACTACTCATTCTCACCATTGATCAGAAGCCAAACTAGTGTTGATGGCGGCCTTATAATATCTGAGAAGTGTAGAGATACCGGGAGTTCCGCTGTTACGTTGAGTCTCTCAAACGGTATGAACGGAGTGGAACAATTATTTGTTGTGATGACATCCCCAGGTAGGACAGACAACTTTGATAAGCATTGCCCTGAAGTTCCTCGTCCTGACCGCGCGTCAAGAGTATACACTGATATGCTTGTAGCGGTGACATTTGACTTGAAAGTGCACACATAAGTGTTGGTTTGTGGTGTTGAACTTGGTATCCTTTTATCTCCATGGATGAGTGAGACTTGAGACAAGCCTACTGCAACACCTCCACTGATGTTCAATAAATCAATTTCTGAAACATTCATAAATTCAATCAATAGTCATTCTAAGATAGACCTTTGTGTCTTGAAGGTACCATGTCCTAACCCTCGTTGTTGTCAAGATAGGAGAAGATTAGTTTAGAACAAATCATGATTGTCGGATCGTACTTTCCACCTTTTTAATATAGTATTGCTTCAGGCGCACAGTATGTCTCATACCCACAACATATTCTATGTGTAGAACACCCCAATTAGATAACATTTGTGACGTTATTCTATTGTTCGGACACTACTAAAGTGACTTGTAACAGGAGGACCACTCGCAGTTCAGGCAGAAATTCGATCGGGTAGAAAGCCTGCAGATTCCCATTTTAGTGAAAGCTGGGAGATGTGGCAATTAATGCTGGGCCAAAATTAGGGCATCTGCACTTGAAAATAGATAACTACAAACATACGATGACATTAAAACATTTTATTAACGATAAAATATTTTGGGTCATTTACTACACACAGACTGAATAAATTGTGCAATTTGTCTTTCTGAGACACCCCACTGTGAACCTCATTGGAAAGGCAACTCGGTCGACTAGAAATTCTTTAGTACGCCTGTAATTGAGTACAGCCATGTATCTATGACCAGTCACTTCACATATTAGCTGCTTGCCTACCCACTGCCTGAGGAAGACAGCTAGCAGCAAACGCACGCACTGGTTAGTGCGGTATCCAGTCAAACTGTTTTACACATTCTAACTTAGTCGCAAGCTTATGTTGCCCCGAACGTTGTTCACAAATCATTCTCCCTAGGTTTATCTAACGGTCGGAAATGAAACGCAGCTGTTTGAGTTGATGATGGACACAGCAGGAAACAGTTCCACAACACATCTGTAAGGGTTGTCAAAACTTTCGTAGGCAACACTATCTGCTATGCTTGCTTACTCCACTGTTAGTTCAAGATGCTTGTTCATTGTACATTAGATACCTTCCATCTCCGAGTTAACCGATCTGAAACTGGTCCCCTGCGTAAGTTCCAATGTTCCTGTCAACCAGGCAATGCAAAGTTAATACCAACACTATATACCATCGCATCCAGCAGCTGCTCATGATTATCGTTTCCCAAACAATATTTCGACCACAGAACGTCTTCTACCCCTGATGTAGCAATCTGAGCTTGTTTCTTCTTTTTGTGGGTATTGCTACTCACCTTCATCATATTATCCAAGGCATTCCTTAGTTGGGCTGAATAGGACCAGAGTAACCTGAGTTTCGATAGACCACATAGTAGCAAGAGGACCCGTAAAGGGTAAAGAGGTAAAGACATGATTTTGTCAAGAGTTTTGGGCGGATGTCGGAGAGGACAACTTATCCTGGTCAGCCGTGGGAATGCAATAGCCTGCGGAGCTTAGCCAAGTAGTGTTTAACATAGGGGAAACCTAAATAGCAAACTAACTATTACACCAATATGGAAGATGTTCGTACCAAAATGCAGCACTGAACATAAGCTAGCCAACGGTATCACTACAGAATAACACCCAGATATGTACAATTATAGGTATATAGGTGACACAAATGACCATAAATACATACTAGAATGAAATATCTATACCTATAGGACAATCGCGATACAGCGTGAAAATCATAGTAACAAAAACATTTTCAACACGGCAATAAGGCACATGTAGGAAACATATGTGAGATAACACATATCAAGAAATACATGACAAAAATGTGCCATTAAGGAGCAAGAGAACAAAATATACAGGTCACCAATTCGCTTACAGAAAGGGTTAAAACACTGGACAACGATGACCGGCAGACTTAGCTGAATTGTAACGGAAGTAGGACAAGTGAAGGAGAAGAGAGCGGTGCGGTCACTGGACGTGACTTAAATATGGTGTTCGACCCGGGGACAGTATCGAGGTACATCTAAATGCAGATGAAGAATGGCTACTGGGTATCTAGAGGCTAATCCAAATCATCAACCGTTTTCACCTCACAAACAAAACGGGAAATAGAGTGGATCGGAACATCTTCCAATTTCGTCAAAATATGACTTAAGTTCCTGTCCTCAGCTAATCTGTTCCTGTAGGTCTTCCACCACTTAAAACTCTTCACCGCCCACCTAATTTTACCGGTGGAGGTTTCAGCGACTCTGAAATGACAAAAAAACACATGTAGCCTCAACAAGTCACAAATTATGCTTGTATATGTTTACTTAGAAACTGAGAAGTGTGACCTGAGTCTACTTTTATTAATTGAAGTAAGTGATCGCAATGCTAATTCGATAGAAGAACTTTGTTTACATGAATTTGCCGTTGCTTAATAAAGACCCAACAGTGTCAAGACCTATAAGTATCGAACACAATATCAGTGGAATCTATTAAAGGGTGACATAAGGTCTTCGAGCAGGGAACTTCTCCATCTTCATATATCTCTTTAACACAGAATATCTCTTCAACACTGAGCAATGACATATGCAAATATCTGAACGAATGACGACCAGGCGAGTGCCGATGCAGAACACGTCTGGTTTACATTTTTCGTGAGGCTTACCAGTTACTCATGTTAACCGGTAATGGCACCAGATTTTCAAGAGACAGAAAATTAACATATATGTTTATTCGATTTAATTTCCTCACCACTAAGATATGCTTCATATTGCTGTTTTGTCTTAAAAAGTTGTCTGAAAGAGTGTTATTAATACATGCTTTGGCAAGAAATAAATCTAGGGCAGATAAATATCTTGTTTGGATACAAAATCACGACAATCAACAGAAAAGGATGTGCTTACATTTTAAACATTACTTAATTTTATAATATGAAATGTCGATTTTGTTCCAAGATTTGTTATAACCTTACTTTTTAAATTATCCGACAATTTGCTAATGGGGATATCAAACAGATGTACTATACCATATTTGTTCACATTTATTCCAGCTGTTAGTGTCGAAACATTACATATTTCTATGCTTAATACTGAACGTAGAATGCTCAAAATGGAGACGTTTGAGTGTTTCACCCTCAAACATATGACGTCACCCAATAATCAGCGTCTGCTTAAATACTTACTCACCAAAATACATACCTTGCCTGTCCCACAGGAGGACATCTCTTCATCCGTTTTATGAACACTATACCAGGCCGACGCAGTAGCAGACAAGGTGTTTCTCAGTCTTCTCAGCAGCTTCGCACGTGGCCATCAGTTCGTCATTAATATCGGACAACTCGAAGTTGTTCATATTTTTTGCCATCTTACACGTTGTGGCTTCATTTGCACGTATGTAGGAAAATAAATTAACCAATTAATAAAATTGGTAATTCCAAAGGTAGACTCAACGTTAGACTATCGTAAGAATACTGTCACTGTCGTGGTTTAGGGCAGAGGTCCGACTCTGGGTAATGAAAATATCGCCTTTGTCAGAGGACTTATTTACAGCCAAAAGCTGAATTTGGAGCCCACTGAATATATACAGTTAACGGGTGCAGGCGATATCAGAGGAAGGGTAAGGAGCACAACTGGTTGTTCGAGTAAAATCTCGAAGTTAATTTTCAAACTGATCCAACAAAATATCAGAAACCATATCTTTGTGTAAACACTTTTCACGTCAATTGTATCACCTTATTATAGTAGTCTTTCCCAAGGAAGAACGAGTTGTTGCTTAAGTGAACGTGTTGTATATTTAGTACAAGTAATGCAGTCACAGATACTGGCTTGTGGTGAGCCGCTTAATGAGATGCTGCTTGTATCTGATTTTAGTTATTTTAATATGGGACGTGTTGTGATAAATTGAAAGTAAATGAACACCAGATATTCCTTCAAAACTATCTCAAATGCACGAAAATCCATTGACCTAAATATCAGTTAAAAATAAGTTAAGCAAAGGAATATTTAAGCAACATTGATTTCTTAAAAATATTGTTCCTGAATTCATGAATGCCCTTCATTATTAAGGAATCGAGCATTATGCGGATATTCTATATGTCTAATAGTTTCAGCAACTGCTTGTTCTTATCGACTTTAAAAAACTGGTTGCATGAGTATAATGTCACGAATTAATTGACTGTTTTGAATGTGATAACATCTCTGTATGTTTATTCTTTTGTTGATTCTTTTCGAAGTAGAAACGTAAAAGGGACGGTGAGCAAGTAATCCAAACTAAATGCATCATGCCAATTGCAACGTTTTCAGTGGGTAGCCTTGCTCTGAATTATCGCACTGTTTGCCATTAAGCTGGCACAAGAAATGCTTAAACATCTTAGAAAGGCATGTTTATGCCTCGTATGTCTTAATACAAACATACTATAATATAAGTAATCAGTTAACTAATAACACATCTTTGCACACACCCCTAAACATAGGTCAAGCCATTCTCACAAAAGAGGTGCCATTCTGTAGTAGACATGGGAGACAAGCTGGAGACCTCGCAATCTTTCTGCACACCGCTTAACTGTCAATAACTGACTTGTAATTCGCATATTTGTTGACATGCCACCATGATATACCCGACGTTGTGTTTGACAGCAGCTATATTGTCCTCCGTCCTGTCCTGTCACACGAGGGCACAGAAGGGAGTGGATAATTCAGTATTCAGTGGAGGTGCAACAGTGAATAGGTGGTTGCATATATGTTCAAACTAGACAATTTCGATGCATGAGGGAAAAGCAGAACACCAACAGCCTTTCTTATGTGTTATTTATCACAACCAATCAGTTATTTTGAAATCAACCCACTCTTACTGTCAATACACTGATATTTCACAACAGAAAATGGAAGAGATGTACTACGCCGGAGAGTTCGATACACACACCGAGCCTGTGGAAAACAGTTGTGGAGTAGCTCAACCAACAACATATATTTTTCTAATCAAAGCATTAGTTACAGAGATCAATTATTATTATATTACCAAAAATCACTTACTTTCAATGCACTGATATTTCACAACAGAGAATGTTAGAGCTGCACCACGCCGGGGAGCAACATACACACACTGATTCTCTGTTGAACAGTAGTTGTAGAGGGAGACCAGCTCGGTGTTGTTGAACCTGTGATATCCTTGTTCTGTCACATTGTCCAGGTTCACTGTGCTGCAACTAGAGATACCAGCATCACAATCTGTATTGTTAGTGTAGTAGGCATCATAGATTGCGATCTTCTGGCTGCTGCTGCAGTTGATGCCATGTCGTACGCATTGCTCGCCAGATCCATAGCATGCTTTACTGGTGTGTGTTGTGGCTACATAAAAGACAGGTCACAAAATGCTTGTATGAATATTTTCCAGGCCTTGAAATATGTTTGAGTGTCTATCAGTTTAGTCTATCATAGTAATCCATTACACAACGTTATCGGATATATACTAACATATTGTTTAGACATTTAATAAATGTGGTAGTAACGTTAGAGAAATTGTAAAATATATATATTACAACGCAAATTTTGTTGTCGTGTTCTGCAGTTCAATTGCGAAATATTTTGAGAATAATTAGCGAATAATCCTTGCATATGCGCGGATTTTTTTCGAAAACTATTATATTGTTTTATGGCACTAATTTGGAGAACTATGGGACTATCACGCCGTCAACGCGTGGCAATACTCTCCATTTATTTACAATATGTACATGTACATGGACTGCTACTCTGTTAATGGATAGAGGATACAATGTACATGTAATGTTTGATAAAATACATGTAAACGCCAGTTTCTAAAATATTCCTGCCATAATAATGCTGTCATTAAATATTTTTTCTGGACATGCATATTTGATTTATGGTCAAGTTGCATTGTGTCTCTTCTCTGGTACAAATCTACCCCATGTCAGAATGATGAAATCTGATTGGCCCACGTGATCTCGATAACATACTTTGTATCCCGCCTAAGGGTGATAAATCTCCCCAGGGGAGAATAAATCCCTTATACCCCGCCACGAGTAGTTGGGGTTTTATGCGTCCCAAGTTACATTTTATTTTTCGCGCCTCCGACTCGTTGTATAAAACCAAAGGCGGGACGCATAAAACGCAATGTACCCCTCGTGATCTTGGTGCAACTTATTATGTATACATGTATTAACTGGGATTATACTTATGTAGTGGTTTGATTCATACCACTTTGACACTGGTTTTATCACAGTTGATGTGTGTTCCTGTACATACTTGGTTAAAAAACACATACACTTACATTGATGGAGGGACGTGCTGATTGACGTGACCACACAGATAAGGATGATAACAATATAAAGTGCATTATATGTATTCCTACAAAACTGTAATCTGTACTTTGGTGCATCTACATGTATACGCATCCTGTCGATTTACTGCTGGACTATTTAATAACGTGGTGAATATCTATTTCATGACTCAGAAACAATAAACAACATGACAAACAATTTCTCCAGTACATTTAGAATGATCAGTTTAAAGTGACAAAAACAGTACAATGTGCCTATATAATGTGCTCAACACCCAAGCGAAAATAACTCTATAGTTATTACGGTTAAATGTGTAAATATGGTATATGATAATTAAATAACCAGGTTTGATGTTTTATGTCGTTCAGTATTTACGTAAAGTGTATAGAAGGAACACATGTGGTTATGACACTAGTGACAAATATAAACTTTCGCATTCGCCCCAATTAAATTCCTTGTTGCCCCGCGGAGTGTTGGCGCAGCTACACAATTTTACAAACAAGCTATCTTGCTTGGGCAATATACCGCACAATAAGCTAGATCACACATCATGAGCACTCCCCTCATTCACATTAGAGAGAGATGGGGGAAGAGAAAGAGAGATGATGGAGCAAGCCAACATTGACATGCACGTAGGTGTAATACAGACCGACACAGAGCAAGATGACCTTATAACTTCTCAGCAGGCCAAACAACATTGGAGAATCACTAAAACGCAAATCTACAGACATCGGAAGATTAACACACCCGCTTTTTTATGAGCGATAGTATCACACTTTAAATAATGGTCGTTTCTGTGAATTTAATGAAGGCATATATGTTACATTGAACATCATCATGTTCTTTTTGTCTTAGTCATATTACATCTTTTAAAACCAACACACAATTTAGACTTAATGCAAGGTCATCCAATTCGTCATACCCGAATTTTGTTTTTCACACAGACAATACCGTCCATCTGGATAATTAGTATAGGGTTTATCAGGGCATTGTGAGATTGGGCTGATCCGTCTGGTTTTACAGATTGTTGTCCTGTCCTTATTCTCACTCAGCGCAATGTAGTTTCCGGCAATTCCACAAGCCGACATTTAGTACACAATAAAGTGAGACCTTATTCTTAACATTAGCTCTTTTCCAGTTCCCTGTACACGTTTTGAATTTGTAACATTAAATAAACCTTTCCCATACTCGCAAATGGCTTAGCTGTGATACAAATGCATAAACTGCACGTTAAAAATCAATATATCCTTACGTTTACTGTCTGTTTGTATACAAGGAACAACATTATTTCACTATACTTCATTTACTATATCTCACCAAATATTTTCCATCTCCATATAAATGTATCATGTCTTACCTGTACAAACTGGCTGAAGAATGTAGCAGAAAATGGTGATACATTGCCAAACTATCACAGACGTCTCCATTATGTTCACACCTCAACTCGCCATGAGGAGCTCATCTGTAAATGAACAAATGGGAGAGGGTTGCATTGTTACAAATAACTTACTTCCTGGTTTAACACCGTCTATATATGTAGGTCATGCAATACAGGTAAAACACGATTTGAATGCAGCCAGCACTCTATCATCAGGGAGATAGTCTGCCGACAGTCTGCTCAATGAGAATAGTCTTACCTGACAACCCCACCCGTGATTTGTCAAGATGTGAGATTAAATCACATAAAACTACGAAATGCCCTGAAATTCACGTAAAGTTAAACAGGCCACTGTGTGTATACTTGTAACCACGATATGGCAGTAAATGATATGTATCACAGTGACGTAAAAGAAAATGAGCCGCCGTGTAAAGTGTCTCGAGCCTATGTTATCGCAGCTACAATACAAACTTCCTAATGTAACTGATAGTTCGTATCTCGACATCGAACACGCAAGTGACCAACCTGCATCTATGAGTGAGGTTATAAATATAGATACATCATAACATTGTGCTTCGACTTCACGTTAACGAACGCAGTGAAGTGTATTGTGTAATCATCCGCCGTTGTTTCCTTTTCAATGTCGTTACATTTACCTTACACCTCGAACCAAGCGTTCATGTATATTATAAAAACAATATGTTGATAAGCGTTACAGTCGGAGTAGATGGGAAAAGATTTGAAGTTGAAAAGTTCAAGGCTTGTTAATATATATTTATTTTCCTGTCGCACACTGTCTAGTATTCTACAATTCAACATGACTATCAGTGTAGTATTCATTATATATCACCAACGAGCTTTAAATGTAACGGGTGGTGTCAAGATGCATTTGACAATCCTTAATCCTGTATATTGAATTTAATCAGGCTATTTCATTACGACAGTGATTTGTACATGTAACCTACGAGTAACCCCTCATCACGATGCGTTGTTCTCTCAAGCAAATATTGTCTTAAACGTGACTTATATTACCTGTTCTTATCAAGCACAACAGTTTGCCGGTCACACATCCACTAACTCTCTGCAGCCAACTTTGTTTAACTTCGCCCGATTTGTGACCTCTGTGTTGTGCACAGGATTATGTTCCACCACACGGACGTACAAACTGTTAGTTATTATTAATCTAAAACACATGCAATCGAAGGCCTTACCTGAATCAACTGCGTTGCGGTTGTCAACAAGGAAGTAAATCTGGCGCGTTCGCTTAGGTCAGCTTGAACGCATATACTTTGGGTAACATTGCCACCTGACATTTCATTCCGTTCGACTGCACACAACAGGACTAGACGTGGCTCTTTCTTACCTCTTCACATAACCACAATGTATGTTGGTGATGTTCTAGTTTAGTAACACAGCAGTCACATAATTTACAGAGCTATATAATGACAGATACATTGACTCGAAATGTGATTCAATTATAGAGGTAATTATACCGTAGCAATATCTAGTTAACACACATTTACATACAATGTAAGACGGTTTTAACAGTGATATGTCACTGACAGTGTTGTCATTGATAGACCGTGTTTGATGGTCATCACTGTGTCATCACAAGCGTGCCCTGCAAATATCTATACTCCTTTTGGTAATGGCCTAAATAAAGATAAAACTTTTGAACTAAACATTTACCAATAATCAAATTCCTTCACCAGATACTGGTTAAATAATTAAGAAAAAAATGTAAAAACATAAAATCAAATGGACCTTTATTCGTTGATCAAACAGGTTATATTTACAGAAGAGTTTTGATATGAAATAAGAAAACGCAGAAAAGAAAAACAAAGAGTTTGTTATTATATGTAGTTTAGTGGGCACACTGAGACAATTAAAATAAGAAATTAACTATTTCCCCATATTGTCAGAGTTGATAGGTTAAGCGAAATTGATCACGACAATCGGCTTGGTATACTGAAGGATCAGCTTGCCCATGGAAAGACCCCACTCCAGTATTTGGATACCACCGGAATGCTATTACAATTGCATTATAATTATTGAGGACTATGTGCTATCTGGTTAAAAGACCTGTGCAAACACTGTAAAATGTTCAAGGCATGAGCGGTGACTGATAAGTTCTGAGCCTAACTATGATGGACTGTGTTGATGGAGTTGGCTGCTAATGCTTTTTCGTCATCAAGGAAATTATGTACATGAAAAGCAATGTCCAAATCAAAGTTACAGAAACGGTGAAGAATTGATACTGTAATATGTATCATCCAATATGAACAAAAATAGCCATAGTGGCCCAGAATAATGTTACACAAACGGTAAAATACTTGGTAGTAATAGCATGAATTGAAGTAATCACACTTATATTAAGAAGAAATACACTGTAACGCTCGGTAAAAAAACGATTATTCACGGGTGAATCATACTTATATACATGTACACGTATTCATTGTGCTTAATTGGTATTTACGTTGAAATTGTATGCAATTACTTAACATAAACTATTTAAGAATTATCAAAGTGACACATCTGATAACGGTGGGAATCCAAAGACTGTTTAAATACATGGAAGGATTAAAGTGAAAGCGAATAAGCATTATTACAGCTGACGTTTCAGATCTATATGGAAGAACAGCAAATCTTAAATGTTTCTCATTTTGACAAACCCCTCAACTACGGGAATAGTGCTGACAATGCTATAATCTTTAATTGACCAAGGCGAAACTGGGGCTCGAACACATGATCATATGCATAGATCGTGGCACTGGGAATTGTGGCGCCTTAGACGACTGGTTTACCCTTGTTCAGCCTTAAACATATGCGTCCAAAATAGTTATTTCTGATATACAAAACAGCGTTATGTGAATACGAAAATGTTTGGTGCCACAACTGAGGACATTGTCAAGTTCAAGGTAACCATCGAGATATTCGGAACACAGCACACAAAAACATATTCCATTTTAGGGATATGCTCATTTCATTGGTCCTGCAATCGAATAATCAGACTTGTCTGCCATTCCCGATGCAGTATCATACGGCGAACTAACAGTTTCAGGATGATTGGTCACCCTAGGGAAATGGTCATAGTCATCATCATCAGTGTTCCTATCGGTCATACTCAGTTGTGCTACTGCCTTAGTTGCAGAAGCAGCGGTGTCATAGTCATTCTGGTGTATCTGCGGGTTGGTTTTCTTGTGGAAAAGATTGTAACCATAATTGTCTTCTCCAATTGTTCCTCCTGTATGTGAAGGTTGAGCCACCGAGGCTGTTGTGTCGTAGCCACTGGTCTGTGGGGATGCTTTGACTCCGATGTGATCATAATCACTTTCAGTGGTAGAGGCTTTCGAAAACTGTTCTGCATTCTGCTTCTCAGCTTGTTCAAGAATGAAATATGTGTTTGCAATTTGAGGAATCTCCATACCATCCGCGGTAGCGTAATCATAATCACCGCTCTGTGTCTTAAGATCCTGGATTTCATGGTAGTTGTTCTGTGGGGTTTTACCGGCCAAACTGTATGCCATGCCAGGCTGTACATCCAGAGGAAATGATGCGGTCTTCTCTTTTCCTTCACCTTTCGCTCGTCTGGAAGTCAGTTCAGAGATACAAGGTGACATAATCAGTGATACATGTACATACAGCAGTATTATGAAGAACACATTTAAATACATTCTTGATTTGAATGATCAATACAAATTTGTCTGGGTTATAATCTTAGGATCTTTCAGTGACGTTCACGGTTTATGAATGCGAGTCTCGCTGAAGTTTATAGGGTTCAACGATGTTCTACGATGTTTAACCCTTTGAACAAAAACGTAGATCGCTCTCGATTTATTTGGCTCAAACGTATACAAGTGTAATATGTAGTCAAAAGGTAATAACTGATGAGACCGTTTTGTATATAATTGCAAGATTCTTGTTTAGAGATTATTTCTGAAGAAGAAACGGGCGTATCCTTGTGTTTCAAAACCGAAGTTTGACACTGACACACTGTATAAATTCTATAGTAGGATAGCTTTACTGGGAATAATTAGTGTATTTAATTTGACAGATATATTTGAATACATAAAAAAATACTTACCTATTTCGTATAAGCCACACTGATACCAATGTTACAACCAATATTGCTACGACTGTGGCCACAACTCCACCAATAATTGCACCAGTGTCGACTGAGATCGAACAAATATATGTAGCTTAATTATTATAATAATATATCATTATACATTATGTTGGGTATACAAAAATTTCACATTGTGAATGCTTGCATTACTGCCTGACGATTAACGTCCTTCCAAAACGTTCTCTGCTGCTAATTGGTATTTACCATTGGCACATACAATACCCTCGTGAAGATACGGGTTAGAATTGGTCTTCAGTAATCCACACTTGCCATAAGAGGCGACTAACGGGATCAGGTGGTCATGCTCACTAACTTGATTGATGTGTCTGATTGAAACCTCATTATAACTGAATTGTTTGGTCCAGATTCGATTATTTACAGACCACCAACAAACAGACATGAAATATATCAACGTCAATTTTGAATTTACCATAACAGACATACATATTTCAATTCATCCTTTATTTGAACATCTTTTTTTTTTCTTTTATCTCTTGCATCAGTTACTGTCATTAAAAGGATCCGTCAGAATCAAGTTTGGACTAACTTCTTTTCCAATACATCGTCGCTGTTGGAATCATATCTATTGTTAATCTATTTGATATCACATAATAAGAGAATATGATCGTTGATGATAATATACTTTCTACAGTTAAACCACAGTTATAACGAACTCAAAGGGACCACTCATTCTAGTTCTTTATAACCGTAGTTTGTCATAAGCATATATACAGCAAGTGTCCGGGACAACAAAAAAGTTCGTTATATCCGTCTGTTCACCATAAGCGTGTTCGTTATAAACGGAGATTACTGTATTTACCAAGTTTTCATATTTGACAAATTGGCTAGGAGGTAATTCATAACACGTTACGAAATGCATACATCACGATGGGGAGATATACTGAAGAGTGGGCATTTGAAACGCAACTCCTACAATATCAATTTATATGTGCATCTTTGTTTTATTTGGATATAAATGTGGATGTAACAAGGATACAACGTATCGGCTTTGAGGTGCAAACTATTATTAATTACAAGCTCTTAGGATTAACAAAGCTAACAAGTAATATTTACCTTTCGATGAAGTTTCTGAAATCAGAATGATCATTGTCTGTTAGATATGTTTTAGTGAGGAGTTTGTCATTACAGACTGGACTGAAGAAATACTGTGCATCCGACTTTAGCGATAGTGGCAAAAGTGAGTGTAGCCGTATGGTTTCAATGCGTTGTTACACAGCGTAAAGCTTAAATTAATTCTCTTTTCTGATAGTCAGAACTCCAATTAACTACACAATAGAATCTACTAATTGTCTATATGCTGCAAAACTAACATTACCTGTTGAAATATGGTTGTTATAATCTTTTGAGGAAATTGTTGTTCCTGTATTTGTACCTGTTTGAACGGAAACTATATTGGATATTTTGATACAAAATATTAAACGTTGCAATAGCATTTTAAGGATGCGATTATACAACATGTATATGAACTCTATACAGTGAAAATCTGGATATAACTCTGGCCTACCTTCGCCTGTCACTGGTTCACACGTCACATTAACAGGGTCTGAAGCTGCAATATATAACAAACTTAATATCATACTGTCAGTTAATCTTACTGTTTATCCGGAATTAGACGTATAACCCATTTGTCACATGTGTATATATGTGTGTGTATTTATACAAGCACTGAAAAAATATATCGTGAAATATTAACTACACAATAATTAAAACTACTGCTGGTGATGCAGTTTCACTCTACGGTCAAAAAACAACATTTTGGTTAATAGAAATACACCTAGATCTTTGATTGTATTGTATCAGGACTGGCTTAGGTACGACTTCTCATTCTTACCATTAATCAGAAGCCACATTAAGGCAGATAATGATCTTGGAAAATCCACGAAGTTAAGAAATATTGGGAGTTCCGCTGTTACGTTAAGTCTCTCAAAAAGTCATTGAGATCTCATTCTGAGGTAGGACAGATAACTTTAAGAAGCATTGCCCTTAAGTTCCTCGTCCTAACCTCGCGTCGAGAGCATACACTGATATGCTTGTAGCAATGATATAAGACTTCAAGCTGCACATATAATTGATTGTTTCCATTGTAGAATTAGGCATCCTATTTTCTCTGTGGATGAGTGAGACTTGAGATAATCCCTCTGCATCTCCTCCACTGGTGTTCAGTAATTTACCTCCTGCTACATTCATAGTTTCGGTCATTAGAAACATTAAGATAATTAACATGAGGGTCATGAAAGCACCTTATCTAATCATCGCCGTTATCTTGCCAGGAGAGGGCACGTTTAGAACAATTCATGATTGTCAGATGATACTTTCCACCTTTCTAATATGACTTGTATGATTTTAGGCGCACACTGAGTCCTTTTCCACATAACATTTTACTTTAGAACACTTTTGTCTCAGTTACGTAACACTTGTGACGTCATTCTATTTTTCGCACACCATATTTTTATTGAATGGAGGGGCTTCCAGTATCGAAGACCGTAGAGCGAATATTATATTTAATGTGACCTGTAGTACTAGGACCACTCGCAGTACGAGTCGAAAATCAAGCTGGAGGAAAGTCAGCACATACCCGGACAAGAAAACAGATGAAATACAAGGATACGATGACATTGACAATTTTAATGATGAAGAAGTACATCGTCATTTAGTAAACAATAATTACATCAATTTCAGTTGCATGCAGATTTATGTTGATCGCAATGTTCTGTGTTTGGATACACGAATCTCATAGGAAGGCTCCGCGGTAAAACTGGTATTTCCTTGAATGACAGTGCTTACAACTTTCATCTGATATTCTGTAGTACGCTTCCAAGACGGTTATTCCAGTGGTTGCAAATAAAAAGCATCTGGTATAGTTGGCGATGAACAGCAAGCGCCACTTTTAAAACAATTTCACAACACTGTGCACATCTGTAAGCATTGCCCGGATGTTCGTCAGCTAACAATGTCTGCCATGTTTGAGCCCTTCACTGTTGGTTTTTTACCTTTTCTTACTGTACATTAGACACCTACCTTCTTCACCTTGACAGGGATGGTGGGGTAGCCTAGTTGTTAAAGCGTTCGCTCGTCACGTCGAAGGGTTCGATTCCCGACATGGGTACAATGTGTGAAGCCCGTTTCTGGTGTCCCCCGCCGTGATATTGCTGGAATATTGATAAAAGCGGCGTAAAACCATACTCACTCCCCTTCACCTTGATAGATCTGAAATAGTGAAGCTGGTCCACTGCGCAAATTGCTGTGTTCCTGCCCACCATGTAATGCAAAGTTAATACCAGTGATACAGCTCATCGTGTCCTGGTTGTTGCTTCGCAAACACCTTTAGACCATAGAACGTCTTCTTCCTCCAGGGTCCCTAAAAGTATTTTCATGGCATTATCCAAAGTATCCCGTATCTGATAATCCAGGTATAACTGACTGCAGATGACGAATCTATACAGAGTGTCTGGAGGATAATCTGAACCGTCAGCTCATCCTTGGCCATGTCTCCGAATTCCGTCAAACCAGGACGTATATAGCTGTCTTCTGCTAATCTCTGCGTTACTTTGATACACCTTAAAACTCTTCACCCACTATCACATTTTACTCGTGGGGCAGTCAGAGGAGTTAACGAAACTCACTCACTCACTTACTCACTCGTGGTGCTGTCAACGAATCTGAAATGAGGAATAATCCTGTAGCCTCAACACGTCATTGATTAACATGTATGTATATGTTTACTTATAAAACGAGAACGATTTAACAATGACATTAATCTTTTATCAACTGGAGTCGATGACTGCGTAGATGCAATAGTCGTTGCTACTAGATCACATTATGGTTATTTTTTTACATAATGCTCACTTAAATTAAGTGATAACGCCGCTAAATTACGCTTCATAGTTTCACTTTGTCTTTAAAACTTCAGTTTTTCATGACATTGTTTTCCTGTGTAATCAAATCTACGATTGTTGAACGATTCTCGATACATTTTTTTTCTAACGTTTCCGATATACATAATGTTTGAGGCTTTGTGAATTAATATATATGTGACATATATCATATAGTAAAATTCCATTCTAACATTTGTTATACACGTTACTACTTACTAAACTATTCGATTATTTGCCATTGGACAAATCAAGAAAATGTATATGATATTTATTCATATTTATTTAAGAGTCGAAACATTACAGATTCTGTACATGTACACAATGCTAAATGAATGCTGACACAAGCGACTTTTGTAATGTTTCGAATAAAAGGAATAATCAACGACTGCTAAAGTTAACTTGCTCAACGAAATACATACCATGCCTGCCTAAAAAGAGGACATTTCCTCTTCAAACCTAGAAGACGCATCTGTGATCAAACTGTGTCAAGTCTTCTCCTCAGCTTCGCACATTGATATCAGCTTATTGTCAGTTTTGTCGGAAATTTCTGGAGTTGACTTCACTATACGTTGTTCATAACTATTTCTGCCTTTTCAAACGTTGATACATCATCAGTGTCACTGATGTAGGAAAAAGATTCAAAGTACGGCTTCTCAGAATCGGTAATGCCATAGGGAGACAAACCATTAAAATTATCCAAACTGTCACTATCGGGGTTTGGGACAGTGGTCTAAGTCATGGAAGTGAAAACATCATCTTCGAAAAAAAATTGGCAGCTTTTATCTTAAATTGATCCAATAACATAAATTCAGCAACTTACACACAAACCACCAGCAACTTCATGACAGTAGCATTGTCGTTTTTACGTTAATCGTATCACCTTAACATTTGCTTTATTTCCCATGTTTTGTACAGGTAATTATAATGCGGGCACAGAAACCAGAATCATACCGACTTAATGTGAGCCACTTAATGACTGGCTGCTTGTTCCTAATTTTTGTTTTGAAAACGTGACGTGTTACGTCAAATTGATAAGAAGTGACACCAGATTTTCCTCCGGGAATATATGAAACATGTCAAGTCACATGATATCAAGTTAAAATTGTTTTGTTGAAAATGTATTTGAAGTAGGGGGGTATCCTTTTAAGTCCCCGTTTCTTAAACACAATGGGTCTCGGTCTCTGTATTCGGCCACAAGTGTGGCCAATGAAAACATTGGAAGGTTTAACATTAAGGATATAAGTGAATCTGATGACGTCATGGTGTGTTTTGTCGTCTGTGGATTATTTCAGAGTGAGTGAGTATTCAGTTTATATAGTATTCAGCTTGGAAGACAGCCAGGAGTATTGCAGGTCTAAGACGTTTACCACTTTGATGAAACCCAGCACTGGTGTCATGCTGCAAACCTAGAAACATAATCGGGGCAAACCGGGATTCGAGCCAACAATATTAGTTTTCTTCCGTGCCCAAGGGACGTAACTCTGCACAGCCAGGCTCGTCGTCTTAGATTATTCCCCCGGATTATTGTAGAAGTAGAAAGTACAGGTAACAGAGACCAGGTGGACCAATCTAAGTGTATTCTGCAAAAGGTATTCACCGAAAAGCCTTACTTCTGGCCCTGTTAGTAATTGATAAAAGAGTGAGTAAGTGAGTATGGTTTTACGCCGCGTTTAGCAATATTCCAGCAATATCACGGCGGGGACACCATAAATGGGCTTCACACATTGTACCCATGTCGGGAATCGAAAATTGAAAAAAGCACTAGAGCCATAAATGTTTAAGCACCCTTGAAGAGTATATTACTTGCGTGTAACTGTATGTCTAAAATATAACGCATAAAGCCCGTAAATAAAGAAATGTCTCTCTCTTTCTCTCTCTCTCTCCCTCACTCTGTCTCTTCCTCCCTCCCTCCCTCTCTCTCTCTCTCTCTCATATATATCATTACATACTTATACCGAGTTCAAGTCGGTCATGTGCTTTTGGGCTGTTTTAAGCCTGTCGTCCGTGTCATGTATGTTTGAATTCCAGTTAATTATCCTTGTCGTAAAAGGCCACTAACGGGATCGGGTGGCCAGGCTTGCGGACTTGGTTGATGCATGTCATTGATCTCAATTGCGTGGATCGATGCTCATGATATCAATCACTGGATTGTCTGGTCCAGACTCGATTATATACAGGCCGATGTCATATAGCTGGAATATTGCTCAGTGTGGCGTTAAACAAACAAACCAAAAAACAAACCAGTTTATTATCCATGTACACACCGATATTCAGATTCTAACTACTTGACATTACCCCGTCATTACAACATATATACTCCGTTGGAAGACCCAGCTAGGAACACCGTAGCCCGCCTGCACACCTCTTAACTGTCAATTGCTAGTTATTAGTAATTGGGGAATGTTGTCGTCATATATTTATCGAGGTGTAATCATGATAAAGTCTACCATGCGTTTGATAGTAGTAACTATTTCGTCTTGCGTGTTCTTTTTCAAGTGGTGACTGAAAGGGACGGATAATTAACTATTCAGAGCACGTTTGATAGTGAATATGTTGTTGTGTGTGAATTGCAGTCTCATTTGTGACGAATATGGATAATTAAAAACTGACACGAATAACATAACTTCAAAAATCGCCACATGACACACATTTGCTACAGAATTAGCCTTTCTCTGCATGATCGCGAGTGGATGCAGGGGGTCGATGCATTGATGTTTTACAACAGTCTACAATAAATGCATCTTGACTTTGAGCAAAATACCAACAGCGAGTCTGATTTGTTTTTTATCGAAACCCATTAGTTACAATTAAATCAATTAGTGTCCATCAAAACACACTTACTCTTGATACACTGATATTCCACAACGGAGAATGCACGAGCTGCACCACGCCGGGGAGCACGATACACACACTGATTCTCTGTTGAACAGTTGTTGTAAAGGGACACCAGCTCGGTGTTGTTGAACCTGTGATATCCATGTTCTGTCACATTGTCCGGGTTCACTGTGTCGCAATTAGAGAGACCTGTTACTGCACACCCTGTATTGTTAGTGTAGTAGGCGTCATAGATGGCGATCTTCTGGGTGCTGTTGCAGCTGATGTCATGCCGAGTACAGGGGTTTCCAGCGGAACCATAGCATGCTTTACTGGGCTGTGTGGCACCTACATGGAGGACACGTCACATCATGCATGTATGAACATTTACTGTGAGATGAAATGAGTTTAAAAGTAGCACTTCTGGTTATAATATCTCTGTCTACATTGTCAAGAACACAATGTTTTCGCAATATACTTACTCATTGGTCAGGCATTCATATACATGTGTTAGTAAAGCATCCACATGGAGGACACGTCACATCATGTATGTATGAACATTTACTGTGAGATGAAATTTGTTTGAAAGGAGTATTTATGGTTATAATATCGCTATCTATACTGTCCACAACACAATGTTTTTGCCTATGTACTTACTCATTGGTCAGACATGCATATGCATGTGTTAGTAAAGTCAGGGAACATGTAAGGGTCGTTGATAACAAATTGATATTATAGAGATACATGTACATATATACATGTATTGTAAGATCGCTGAAAGCACCGTTTATGATATAAATGCTTAAATAAATACCATAAACTTCATATTACGATCCGATCTATATGCAAATGAGGTCGCCTAGCAGAAACTACTTTTCGAGCCCCATACATCAATGCGATGCCTTCTTCTCATTAAACTATTGATTCATATAACGTTCTCGGTTTGCTTGGATATGGGTTTCCCATTGCTACAAACATGGGCCCGTGTCATTTTGCATAATATGGTGGTTCACTCACAAATTGTATTCATACATACTTTCAAAAGCTACTTGAATGAATGAAATTACTTCATAACCGTCCTGTAGATATTTTAAAAATAATATCATGTGATACAGAGATTATTACCATCATGTGCTTCGGTATCATACTCTCTTAAAAAAAGAAACGCTTTGTAGATAGTGAGAATGTTAATTTTATTTACTCATGAAACAGTAATACAAATACAACCGCACCATCGCCACAGAACGTCTTGCAACTGGAGAGTACTAGTCAACGTACATCAGCGCCACATCTCGTCCATTGGATCGGTATACGCGACTAATTCAACCAAGGATCGCCTGAGAAGGGTGGAACAAGAGTCGCCAACCCTTCGCAAGATTGCTACATCCCTTTGAGGCAGCAGGAAATTGGTTTGAGGAGGGCATCGGCCAAAACAATCATGAGTCACCTGCAAGAGGTGAGAAGTTGACCCAGAAGACCGGTGTTTGTCCTTGTATTGAGACGTTTGCATCGACGACAACGTATGGGGCAGAGCAATATAAATGTAAAGACATGAAACTGGCGGCCAGTCTGGTTCAGTGATGAATCACGATTTCTTCTTCAACGCCGAGATGGAAGACAGCGTGTGAACGTTTTGCACCAAACTGCGCTCGACAGGTTGACCGATTCGGTGTCGGAAGTGTGTTGGTGGAGGGAGCCATATCCTACACACGAAGATCTGACCAGGTGGTGGTTTAGGGGAATCTGACAGCAAATCGGTACATCGACCAAATTGTTCAACGTCACCTTCTTCCGGTTATCAACTACCAGAAGGGATGGCTTCAACATGACAATATTACACCACACACAACTCGTGTCACTGTTGACTTCCAACATAATTCAAACGTTAATGTCTTGCCATAGCTTTCCAGATCTCAGGACCTAAACCCGATACAGTATCTGTGGGATGAAGTAGATAGACGTACACCACAACATACACCGCAGACACTTACACAACTGGCCAACGCGTTGCATGAAGTTTGGAGGAGAATTCCAGAGGACAGAATCCGTAGACTTATTCAGCTTGTGCCAAGGATGTGTAAAGCAGTGATGACGGCACACAGTGGTCACATCAGGTACTGATCGGAATGCCCCCCTCGTGGACGTAAGTGTCTTGCGATTACATAGGACAATCAATATTGCCAATTTTTTCTACTGAACAAAAAACAACACATAGTTTACTTTGGACGGACAAAGAGGTAGCCGTCCGTTCCCGTTCGCCATAGCCGATGTTTGTTATTCCCTCGAACAATACTGTCCATGCAAACGGAGTAGATTTCCATTACATCACTATGTTGAATACAATGTCCAAGAAAGTCCACAACCCGTCATTAAGAACACCATCAGTTAAGAACTATTACCGGGTTTCTGGTAACGTTTTGAATTAGATGTTTGCAATGAATATCGCCGCCGTATGTGAGTACACTCATATATGGTTTACATGAGCAAAAATGCATACACCTCAAATATTTTGTGTATGTAGATATGACAAGCTGTACTTATTTCAGCTGCCGATCTCTATATGCATTTGCAAATGTCTGTCTTACCTGTATAAACGGGTTGAAGCATGTAGCCAAAAACGATGAAACATTTCCAAACGATCATAGACTTCGTCATAATGTTGACATTTCACCGCGTCATGATCAGCGCATCTTAAAAGACACAAAATGTAAAGGGTTTAAATTTGTATTGTCAAAAAAAACTTACTTCCTTGTTAAACACCGCCTGCATATATGTGACGGTCATGTCGTACAGGTGGGTATCAACACTATATGAATGCAGCCAACATGTTATCATGAGGGACATAGTCTGATGTGAGAGATAGTCTGGGGTGAGAGATAGTCTGGGGTGAGAGATAGTCTGTGGTGAGAGATAGTCTGGGGTGAGAGATAGTCTGAGGTGAGAGATAGTCTGGGGTGAGAGATAGTCTGTGGTGAGAGATAGTCTGGGGTGAGAGATAGTCTGGGGTGAGAGGTGGTCTGTGGTGAGAGATAGTCTGCTGTGAGAGATAGTCTGGGGTGAGAGATAGTCTGGGTGAGAGACAGTCTGGGGTGAGAGATAGTCTGGGGTGAGAGATAGTCTGGGGTGAGAGATAGTCTGGGGTGCGAGATAGTCTGGGGTGAGACATGGTCTGTGGTGAGAGAAAGTCTGGGTGAGAGATAGTCTGGGGTGAGAGATAGTCTTGGGTGAGAGATAGTCTGGGTGACAGATAGTCTGTGGTGAGAGATAGTCTGGGGTGAGAGATAGTCTGGGGTGCGAGATAGTCTGGGGTGAGAGATGGTCTGTGGTGAGAGATAGTCTGGGGTGAGAGATTGTCTGTGGTGAGAGATAGTCTGGGGTGCGAGATAACTTGGGGTGAGAGATGGTCTGTGATGAGAGATGGTCTGTGATGAGAGATAGTCTGGGGTGAGAGATTGTCTGGGGTGAGAGATGGTCTGTGATGAGAGATAGTCTGGGGTGAGAGATAGTCTGGGGTGAGAGATAGTCTGGGGTGAGAGATAGTCTGGGGTGAGAGATAGTCTGGGGTGAGAGATAGTCTGGGGTGAGAGATAGTCTGGGTGAGAGATTGTCTGTGGTGAGAGATAGTCTGGGGTGAGAGATAGTCTGTGGTGCGAGATAGTCTGGTGTGAGAGATGGTCTGGGGTGAGAGATAGTCTGGGACGAGAGATAGTCTAGGGTGAGAGATGGTCTGTGGTGAGAGATAGCCTGGGGTGAGAGATAGCCGCTGTGAGAGATAGTCTGGGGTGAGAGATAGTCTGGGGTGAGAGATAGTCTGGGGTGAGAGATAGTCTGGGGTGAGAGGTGGTCTGTGGTGAGAGATAGTCTGGGGTGAGAGATAGTCTGCTGTGAGAGATAGTCTGGGGTGAGAGATTGTCTGGGGTGCGAGATAGTCTTGGGGTGAGAAGTAGTCTGGGGTGAGAGATGGTCTGTGGTGAGAAATAGTCTGGGGTGAGAGATAGTCTGGGGTGAGAGATAGTCTTGGGGTGAGAGATAGTCTGGGGTGAGAGATAGTCTTGGGTGAGAGGTGGTCTGTGGTGAGAGATAGTCTGCTGTGAGAGATAGTCTGTGGTGAGAGATAGTCTGGGTGAGAGATAGTCTGGGGTGCGAGATAGTCTGGGGGTGAGAGATGGTCTGTGGTGAGAGATAGTCTGGGTGAGAGATAGTCTGGATGAGAGATAGTCGGGTGAGAGATAATCTGGGTGAGAGATAGTCTGGGGGTGAGAGATGGTCTGTGGTGAGAGATAGTCTGGGGTGAGAGATAGTCTGGGTGAGAGATAGTCTGGGGTGAGAGATTGTCTGGGGTGAGAGATAGTCTTGGGTGAGAGATTGTCTGTGGTGAGAGATGGTCTGAGGTGAGAGATGGTCTGGGTGAGAGATAGTCTGGATGAGAGATAGTCTGGGGTGAGAGATAGTCTGGGTGAGATATAGTCTTGGGGTGAGAGATAGTCTGGGGTGAGAGATGGTATGGGTGAGAGACAGTCTGGAGTGAGAGATAGTCTGGGGTGAGAGATTGTCTGGGTGCGAGATAGTCTGGATGAGAGATAGTCTGCTGTGAGAGATAGTCTGGGTGAGAGATAGTCTGGGGTGAGAGATTGTCTGGGTGAGAGATAGTCTGGGGTGAGAGATAGTCTGTGGTGAGAGATAGTCTGGATGAGAGATAGTCTGGGTGAGAGACAGTCTGGGGTGAGAGATAGCCTGGGGTGAGAGATTGTCTGTGGTGAGAGATAGTCTGGGGTGAGAGATTGTCTGTGGTGAGAGATAGTCTGGGGTGAGAGATAGTCTGTGGTGCGAGATAGTCTGGGGTGAGAGATGGTCTGTGGTGAGAGATAGTCTGGGTGAGAGATAGTCTGGAGTGGGAGGAAATCAATGACATTAGTCCTTCCCCGCGAGACCTGTTATCAAGTTGTGAGATTAAGTCACACTAAACGATGAAATGCCCTAACACGTTAAGCAAACCATTATGGTAAACTTCTTGTGACCACGATATGACAGTAAATGAAATGAATAGCAATGACCTTTACAAAGAGGATCTACCTTGTGAGGTGTCTAGGCCCCCTACTTGTCAATAATGCAAACTTCCTGATACAACAGTATTAATTTAAATTGTTACTGATAGCTCGTATCGAGAAAACGTACATGTAAGTGGCCACCCTGCATTAGAGGAATGCAATTAAATGGATTTACATCGAAACATTGCGCTTCCACTTTACGCTACCAAACGCAATGTTATTTATAATATAATCATCCGCATTTGTTTCTTTGTAATTTCATTACATTTACATCTACCCCTCGAACCAGGATTTCATGGTTTTTCAGAACACATGGCGATGGGCGTTGCACTCCGACCAGTTAAAAACGTTTTTTTCATACATTAAAATTTAAATCTTGAAGTTAAACGTATAAGGCGTATGAATATATATTAATTTTCTAGTCGGCCACTGACTAGTATCACACAGTTCATGGTCATGATTGTATTATTCCCAGCAGCATTACATTTGTACATTGTATTTGACAATCTTCAATTTACACTCCACGCAGTCAGCCTCATCCTTTACGAGAGTAATTGGTAGATGGAATTAATGACCCACATCACGATATATTGCTTACTAAGCAAATTGAAATATAAATGAAATACGCGGAATAATGAATAATAATAATAATAATAATAATAATAATAACGATGACGACGACGATGATGATGATGATGATGATGATGATGATGATGATGATGATGATGATGATGATGATGATGATAATGTCGGAGGATGTCGGACATAATCACAATGTCAATGTTGATGGTACAGAAATGAGTGTCAACCAAGCGAATTGCTGTATCACATCAGGGGCGGTCGGGTAGCCTAGTGGTTAAAGCGTTCGCTCGTCACGCCGAAGACCCGGGTTCGATTCCCGACATGGGTACATGTGTGAAGCCCATTTCTTGTGTCCCCCGCCGTGATATTGCTGGAATATTGCTAAAAGCGGCGTTAAACCATACTCACTCACTCACTGTATCACATCTGTAAAGACTCAGATTTCCAGAGACAGGCTATCTGAACGACAACTGCATCGCGTTTATGTGCAGTGTTTTGATAAGATCAGCAGCCCCGCAGAGTCCTCTCTTTGGATAAAGTTGACTGGCCTGAAAAGTGAAACAGTAGGCTTTCTGTTTGCTGCTCGGGGCCAGCCACTTCCCACTCGAAACCGTCAATGTGAGATTTTGCATCAAAATGTAAATAGGAAATGTAGATTATGAAATGAATTTAATGAGACTATCCAACACGTTGTCAGTGGATACACAGCTTTAACACAAACACAGTATCCTAAGCAAAATGATGGAATGGTTCGATCATTTTATTACCTTCTTCGCAATGCTTGTGGTTTTGATACAAAAGTCCATCCATGACACGACCCTTATTCTTCGGAATAGGCCCGTATACAGCCTCATATCTATCCAGGCCAACAAACCTGATCTTGTCTTTTTTGACAAATCTAAAGAATTTTCTGTCCCTTTTGACGCTAATGTGATTGACAAGATTCAGGAAACACATGGCAAATATGCGGAACTCGCTTTCGAAATGTCACGATTGCATCCCAAGTACCAAGTTGTCCGACTCCCCATTAGTCTCGGTGCCTTAAGTTTGGTACTCCCAATCTGTTGTCTGACATTGTGAGAATACCCGGATTTGCTGCCCTTCTATAAATAAAGCCCTTCTGACAATCTTGATAATGCAGAATGCTGTAGTGTTGGGGAGTCTTCACAAGTTCTGGGTGGGTTTGACTAGTCAGCGCATCTTGGGAAATGTCCCATTCGCTGTCTGAGTTGCGTGTAGAGGGGGCAAGGGCCCTGAGCTGATGATGAGACTAACAAGCCTGAATGTGACAGGATCTCCCAACCCCTCTTTGCTGCATGTTGTTATTTTAATCTGTGAACACTAATTCATTTGTATTGCGTTTTTCAATGTTCGATATCATGCTTACAGTGCACCATTGTTACTCATGATCAGATGTGCCCAGGATCTCTGTTCTCACCGTCCCGGGGAGCGTGCAACCCAAACTGCCTGTGCGGCGCTAGATGTGTAACATACACACTCTTCCAGGTACCAGGTACATATTTCAGACAAGTCACCTCCATAAGACGATAACACATATTATGGTCACCTATGCATCTACTATCCGCGACCAATGTTTCTTAATTTCGCCTGATATGTGACCTCTGTGATGTACACAGGACCACGTTCCAGAACATCACCGTACAAACTGTTAAACATTATTAGGTATTCGTCTTAAATCCATGCCATTAAGGCCTTACCTGTTTGAAGTGCGTTCAGGTCATCAAGGAAAGAAAAAATGTGGCGTTCGTTTAGGTCAGCTAGAAGCTCTACCTTGTTTACATGGAACTGTGTCACCTGACTGATCATTCCGTGCGACGACAACACACAACTGTCCTTGGTATGATGCGTTCTTTCTTCCTCTGTACAAGACAACACAATATGTTGGTACTTGTCACTGCTTTACAGACTACATCAGTAACGTGATTGTCACGTGATTTGAAATATGATGTCTGTTATGCAGATAATAACGTATCGATATCTCGACAACACCTGCTGACATAAGACACTTTTAGAATAATCTATCACCGACAGTGTTGACATGAATAGGTCGTGTTGGATGGTCATACCAGGGACATTACAAACATGCCCTCTTCAAAACATCCCGTACACATACATATATGATGTATAACAGGTACCATACAAAAACACAAAGCTTTGTCACTTTGTTGTTACATGCACATGCAGGTCAATTAGGAAAATTGCATCGGGGGCCCTGGACACAGTTGCGTCCTTTAGGTGCTTAAGATTAGTTCACAATGCTCGTGGGTTTGAGTTCATTCTTCGTCCTGAATATGTTGCTATGTTTGAGAGCACCATGCCCGTGCTCTTGGGTTTCATCAAAGTGGTACTAGTCCGGACTATATGTCAGTTTTATGGTGCTAGCCTACAGAGATACCTTATCCAACTGAGACACTCTATACTGACTCGAGTCCGCCCATTTCTTGGCATATTCCCCTTTCAGCTGAGTTTGGTAACGCATAACATATCTTGATGACACTGTTGGTAGGGGATCAAAACACCGACCTTCCACTCTCCAAGCAGACGCTCAATCCACTACACCATAGCGGTGGTGGTAATGTGTAGTTTCACAGTTTTGATAAAAGTCACGTAACTACATTATTATCGTTCCAAGTGTATTGACCACATTGCAGTTTAAACAGCATATGAGGCGGTCGGGTAGCCAAGTGGTTAAAGCGTTCGCTCGTCACGCAGAAGACCCGGGTTCGATTCCCGACATGGGTACAATGTGTGAAGCCCATTTCTGGTGTCCCCCGCCGTGATATTGCTGGAATATTGCTAAAAGCGGCGTAAAACCATACTCACTCTTTCACTCGCTTAAACATCATATATTTCACGGAATGTACATATCAAACAGCCTGAATACCACCTCGTCCTTATTCTTTTATATCCTTTGACAACCATATCTGGTTTAACGTAAGAATGTTGTGTGCGCTTGATTAAACTTTTCCTGACAGGAAATAACGTAATATGAAATACTATACCTTCCTTCACTGATAACCCGGGACAAAAGGCCCATTGCTCTTTTGTACTGGGACACAAAATGTCTCTCTCCCCTTTTCTAACTGTTCCGCTTTTACTGCCCAGCTATTATGGTGTATACAATGCAGATACCCTCGTCAAAAGCTATAGAAGCTTGATAACAGAGAAAGTACTTCAGGACAGAACTGTCCTACTGATATGAAATTACAGCTGTTGACTGCACTTGGTTACATGTACTACGGACTACATTTGCATTGGGTTATCATGTGCGTGTCAGGTCGTGTTAACTATACACAATGAACCGGCCATTACCAACAGGAACGGGATCGTAAATGTTGTACTTGCATGCATCACGTCAGACTTTCCTCACACGTGAAGCTGAAACGCTGTGATATAACTGAAATATTGTTCATAGCAACGTTAAACTCACTCACTGAAATCACTGTCCCTTTGTGAATTCCTGAACTAAATTGAAAATAATGTTTTAAACGCTGTGCTTAGAGAGAAGCCTTTCTTTAGTTATGCATTTTACTTTTATGTTTGACCAAAGTTACGTTACTTAAGCAAAAGAATGTTCATGGTTATTTTGCAGACACATTGAGTTGTTTGTAAAGTTCGATACGTTGATCCCTAAAGTAGGCTTGTATTATACTTACTTTGGATAAGGTTTTCATTCATTAGAGGATAATCGAGCGATTTATATTCAATTTGTATTTAGTGCTTATATGTGGTTTTGATTACACATAGCACATATCAAAGACAAGACACACTCTATATTTACTTTTTTTCAACATACATTCCAACAGTCAGCAATATTCTGACGGCATGTGGATAGTGTCCGGGTCAAGCAAACCAGTATGGCATAAATAACGTCCCAAGCTGTCGGGATAAATAATCAGCCGTTTCACAGAGCCACCGATCCCCACTTGAATCGCCTGTTACGTCAAGCATGAGGTACTGAACTTCCGCTAGGGCAGATCACTTACATTGACAATGTAAAGATTATATTCACTGAGCAATATATTACTATATAAATCGTAATTAAATATAACATAATCCTATACTAAACACATATTGGTTTCTTACTGACAAAGCGTGGTGGTAAGCGAGTTGAGATGCACATGTACATTGTTCATACCTAGTAATAAGGTTATTACATAATGCTCACAATAGTTCTCTTGAAATCATCGTAATTCATGATATATAAATTTCAAGAACTCCCTCACCACTGTGTAGGCAGTGATAGCACATTACTGTAATTCGTGTCCATTTCTTAAATATTTTCCATTATCTGGTTTTGTCATTTGAGAAACTTCTTTTGATGATTTATTGTCAATCATTTATTTCTAGGCTTGTTGTTAGCATAACTTCGATCTGATACCACAATTTTTCAAACATAAAGGATTCCACTTTGATGAACATGTCTATTGTGTTGGTCTAGCAAAGGTATAGTCACCAGAAGAATCTCTCATATTTCCTGCAGTGTCATAAGGTGAACTAAGTGTGTCCGAGTCGATGATTCCCCTAGAGAAGTGATCGAAGTTGTCTTCGCCAATGTGCTTGTCGATTCTACTTAGTTGTGCTACTGATTTTGTCTCAGACGCAGCAGTGTCGTAGTCATTCTGGAATGATTCCCATGTCGTCTTTTGAAAACAGATTGTAACCATAGCCATATTCTCCAACACGTCCACCTGTGTGCCCGGGTTTGGAAACTGAGGCTGTTGTATTATAGTCACTGGTCAGTTGGAATGGTTTGTCCTCAACGTGACCATAATCGCATTCGGTAACAGATGCTGATGAGTTGGTGCTTGAATCGTGTCTCCCAGCTGGTTCACTGGTGGAATAAGTGTCTAGCGGATGTGCTATACCATCGGTAGGGTCATAACATGATCACGTGAAGTGTTGTGTGCCTTCAGATTGTCTCAGTCATGGTCATTACACTGTGGGATATCACTGGCTGAACATAATGCATTGTCAGTCTTCAGGTTCTTCTTCTCTTATGAAGCTGTATTGGCATATTTATGAACAAATCCATCCATGGTTACCTGACGAAATCAATACTGCAGTCGTATATACTGATACCATAAATATATTAATGATTGTTGAGTGATCCACGAGCGTTTGCTCATCCTACTACATGCAGAATATATTAACAGTAACCCGCAGGTAATTCCGTCACACACTGAGGGGCAATACTTTGTTGTACACAGAGCTGTGTTGTGCGAGCAATGCAGCAATAACACAACACAATGAACGATGAACACGACAGCTTTCCATCAAGTTCAAGTTACAGGGAAGTAACACGGCGTTTGATTAAGAAAGGTTATGTGAATTATATATTATGATATATCAATTGTATGGGGTCTTTACACAGATCGTTACAAATGAGTGTACATGTAGTTAGATGATGGCGACATAAGTATGAGTTGTGTGAGTGAGTAATGGTTTTACGCCGCCTTTACCAATATTCCAGCAATATCGCGGAGGGGGACACCAAAAATTGGCTTCACACATTGTACCCATGTCGGGCATCGAGCCCGGTTCTTCGGCCTGACGAGCGATCGCTTTAACAACTAGGCTACCCAAGTATGAGTTGAATATGAGACCCTTTTTTATTAATGTGCAATATCCAAAGAGTAGTGCTCGCTTAAATGCTATAACTGTATATACTGTGGTTTGTCTCTTTATTTAAACACCATCAAAGACACGTATATATTTAATTTGTTCAATCAAAACCTCTATGAAGGTAAATCTTTAGGATCATAGCGTCTTCTGTAGGTTCGTAACTCTGTAGAAGATGTAGCCTAGGTAACCTTTAGTATAATGTGAAAATAATAATAACCTAAGGGCTAGATAAAGAAATAGTAATTTATTATATGATAAGGCATGACAAAAAGCTCGTGCAGGATTTAACTATATACAAATTAGCTTACAGAACTACTTCCTATGGTTAACTGTTCATTGTACAGTTACGTCCCAGTCCCACGCTGGCATCAATTTTACTCTTGTACCCGTGAATCCACTGATATCGATGTTAAGCAATTAAAGTGGTATTATCTTATCAAACACACAGCATTTTAGTAACTGACATCAAAAAGGATACTAATATTCTATGTGTGTGAATTGCAATTTAACAGCGAGACCAATGAATTCATCCTGTAACTGATATCAAATAACCCGTGAAGATCCCCATGCAACCCATGCTACATCATAAAATTGGTTGAAATCAACTAACCAAAAATGCACCAGAAAACATGACAAAAGATGATGATGAACTATTATTAAATATCCTACCACAACATATATAACAAACTAATGTTATAATCATATTCATTCCTTGGTTGCTTGTCCAATTCAGTTGAACTACCGCATTACCATTTTCCCTGTTGAGATATCGGATTTCGTTTTACACTGTGTACATTGTACAACTACAAACATATCTGACAAGCCAATGTTTCTATTTTCCTCGTCTGTTGGAACTACGATAACTGTGTCAGTGTTATTGTCACGTGTACATGGCTGTAACTGTGAATCACAATTACAATTCCCCTTCCTGCTTCACTGATAACGTATGTGAGAGACGTGTGATTTGCAAACATGTGTATGACGAACATTACGCGGATGTTATGTTACAGATAATCGCCGACAGCCGAAGTGGATGTTCAGTAAATTTTGCTGATTTCTTTTGGGATATTAATATCAAAAGCTCAGCTCTAAACGCCTCTACCTCCTCTGACTTGAACAGCATGATTCCACATTTGTCATGCAAAGTCGAGTGATTTGGTTACAAGCATTACATAGTGAGGGTAGCAAATACAGTGTCAGAAAATGTATAGATCATATAACACAGCAGTCTTCCTCCTCGCTCTGAAATTAAAAACAATGTCATCGTCCTTGACAAAAGTGTAATGCTGAAGCGTAATGTCGGTATTTATTTCAAGCATTAATAGGATACAAACTGTTCAGAAAAATAAATGGAAAAAAGACGAATTGTAGGAACTGCGAAAAGCCTACACCATAATTTATATACAGTACACGTATAGATTGTGACCGCAGGGATGTTTTAAGCAAGTAGTTGCAAAAAAGGTGGGCTTAGTAGTGAAAGGCGCGTCAATGCGTTAAAGGTACAATTTAGAAGAAAAAAATACCTCCTGCAGGTTTTTTTGTGTGTGTGCGTATGTGTGAAATAGAAAGGACACACAGAACTACGTTTCTCTCGGTATCACGCCTGGGACAGATACTACTTTCAAAATAACACGGATAATTATGATATAACATGGTTATCATATAATTTAATCATGTCTGTGTTACATTTACCTCTGATAAAATAGGTACAAAAGTTTTAAATCAAAGGTTCTGGTAATCTGGAGTAGCCGCCACATCATGTGCAGTATCCCCTTGAAACCCGGAAGTCTGTTCAATAATGTCATAGTTGTTGACATCACCCCCAGCTGACATACCGGAGTAGCTGGGGTGTTCAATAGAAGCTGGGGTGTCTCCTTGTTTCTTCGGGGTAAGATCATACCGGCGTCTGCAAGGACACGGGATCTGACATTTGAATCAATCTTTAAGACAATCACTAAAGGACGTCAGTTTCCCATTGCGATTCCCCACATGAATAAATAGGTAAATCCCATGCGTGGTGTCCTCTACTGTGGCAGGAAGGATTTCTAAATAGTAAAGTCACCCACTCCCTCACTCATATCACAACTGAGATGGACGTTATTACTGTCTTTTCAAAGTATATTCCTTCACTAAATGAGCCCAAAAAGGTAGATAGTGAATGTGCTTTTAAATATACCTGACAACGAGGACGTACACTGCAAGACAGACCAGGATGACGATAACCACTCCGACAGCCACGCCTCCCACAAACACACCAGCTTGAACAAGAAAATAACCAGTGTGTACTCAACAAGAACTAGAACATTCTTAATTGCCATTCAATTAAACTAACATTTGAAAACAAAACAGTACATTTGACAAACTTCCATTAACCATGGACAATACGTGATTATAAATGGATGCAAGCAAACGACCAGCAGTTACATATTTTTGCTTAACAAGTACAAATACCAACAAAACTTGTCCAAACATTGTGAACAATACTGAATGTGCATATCTTAATATGTATTAGTAAGCTCCATTATTGCCACCCATTAACACCAGAAGGTAACCGTTTGTACTATTTTGAACAATTGTACATGAAATGGTGAATAATGAAATGAATAATCCATACCTGGGAATTGTGAAGAGATGGATATCGGATATCTGTCCTTATCTGGCGCAGTGTTGAATTCCCCTGTCAAAAAAGTTGACAAACGTTTTCTTCTATTCAAACAGTAAAACCAAGACACAAATATATAGATTTCGACATATAATCGTAAATTTGGAAAACTCAAAGCAAATAGTTAATCACAAATTCATACTATTTAAGACTCATTTTGTCACATCGCATTGATTATGATTCAGGCTGTATATGCTGTTGTATCACCATAACAACTTATGTACCATACGGATATAAAAACATGGTAAGCGACAGTGAAACAAACAAACTGGAGTTTATGACGAGATTCCTGTGGAGGAAGGTACGTATTTGTCTTTTGAACAATTACATAAGAAATTCTGCAATGAATAATGCATACCTGGGAATTGTCGGGAGGTGGATATAGGAGATGTACTATTAGTGGACTCGGTGGTGAATCCCCCTGTTAGAAAGTGGATAAACGTGTATGTGTTATTCATGATCCACAATGAGTATAATCGAACGATGAAACACACCAAAACTATGTAATGCAATGTATATAATAAACTTTTCATACAATCTCAAACACTTGTTGACATCTCATTGACAATGATTAAAGCTATGCGTGGGAATGGTCTCAGTGGAATATCCCCTGTTCCAGTAAATGTACATGGTGAAATTGTACTCATTTCCAAGCTGGCGAGGAACCTGTCTAGAACACAATCGCCAGAAAACTTTCCTCGAGGTTATGATGAGATCGAAATGGACTCTGGGTCAGGCTTATGATTTATTTTAAACCTTCACAGGAGCAAGAACTTTAATAAACGCTGTCAATTTTACGTACAATATGTACTGCGTGACAAGAGAACGAAAAGCATTTTGGTAAATGTAATTCAGAAGAAACCTATAACATTCGTTTGAATTCAAACGTTTTCCATAGAGTGGGAGAAACATATTTACGATTTTTCATGACTTTTTAACTGTACGGATATACACATATGAGTCACCCATTAATGAAAAGGAACCTAATATGTTTAATTCAGCCTTGCTATGCTCTGCATGTTTTACCCATTACTTCAGAAGGGTGCATTCATAATATGATACTACAAGCTCTACATTACATGGTGAAACATACCATGGAGGAGCGAGTATTTGAAATGCAACACAATCTGCACGTAAATGCTGCTCTTACAGACAGAATGTATCGGTTTTGACAACCAAATAAATATCAATTACAAGCCCTAGGGAATACCAAAGCCGACAGGTAACAGGTGTAAGTTTTCCTTTCGAGGAAGTTCTTGATATTAGAATAATAATTGTCAATTAGCCATTGCGGAATTTATCATTTCAAGAGACTGGGCTGAAGATGTATGGTGCCTCCGATTTTTGTCATACTTAAACAGGCGTGTGTAGCCTTATGGTTTCAATGCGAGGCTGCTATTGCTTTAAGCTCATTGTAGATATATTTTATGATCTTAAGAACTGCAATGAACTACCCAAAAGAAAACCATTAATTGTCTCATCCAAACACATGTATTACTTGTTGTCACACGACTGCTGTCTTTTGTTGAGGAGACATGACAGGCTCTTGTTCCTGTACTTGTACCTGTTTGATCACAAACACACTTTGGATATTCAGACACAAATGTTGAACCTGACATTAGCACATTACGCATTATGTACATATACAATAAGTACATGTATATGTACACTTATACAATCAAAATCTGAATTTTACATCTGCCTACCTGCGCTTGCTGCTTGTTCACACTTCACATCAAAAGGGTCGGATGCTGCAATATGACACACACGTCCCAGTTAGCATTCAGACGTTGGCCCAACGTAGGTACTGCCGCGGTCGGATTTCTAACGTTGGCCTAACGGTGTTACACCATTGGGTAATATTTTGGAAATTATATTCAAGGGAAACAACTCTAAATTGAAAGCTTTTCCAAGAGGGCGCTGTGTTTCGTCCGCTTCTGCTCGAGCAGATCACGCGGCACAAGCACAAGCTCGGCCATTGGAGTACTGTTTTCCTCGAATATAACGGTAAGTGATTACTTAATGTGTTCTTATAATGTTCAACATTTTTTTACAAATTATACCCGAGAAGAAATAATCATTGTTCATTCAGAAATGCCAACTCTAACTTAAGGACCGAAGCCGAACAATATGTCGTCAGGCTGATGGCTTGCAAATGTAGCGTACTGTCATCCCCAACAATTCGAGTTGGTCAGTATCATATATATACAGTATAGTTGGTTGTGATCATGAAGAGGGAAAGTTTGTGTGTGCCATATATCGCATAGGTTGCAGTGTCGATCTAAGTTCTAACAGTGGGAGGACACCGAACAGAGGGCGACCACGTGACCATCCAAAAAATGCTAACTGTGGTATTTGGGAATGAAGATTGGTTGTTTTAATGCTCGCGTAACATGAAAAGCAAACTCAACCAAAAAAGGTTAACTTCGCTTTTGCTTGTAACAAGTGTAACAAATAAAATATATAATAATGAAGTTTCTACAAACCCTGAGAATTATGTGGACATGGCTTAGACATGTGTTTTCCTCAAGTTGAGTAAAGGTTGTATCTATCTGACAGTATACGCTATTCTATCTCCTTGATTGAATCTTCATTGATCACCATCCAGGCTTGTTCCCCCAGCCTTAAACATAGCTGCCCAACGTTTAACAGTGGAATAGCTAGGGTACTTATCCCAATTCACTTGTGACATGCGGTCATGAATTTCTTGGGGAGTACTTTTCTCTAAAGCAAAAAACTTGATGACTGCCCGGTACTCGTTCTTTTCCATTATTATGTCCATTTAGACTCCTATCACGTACATGTGGCTGTCACTGATATACAAACGGCCTGAACAGACCAAATACACTTGCAATGAACTACTAAAGAAATTTCCTAAATTGCCTACTTCAGTTTGTTATGGCCCATAGTTGAAAGTTAGTCAGGCTTAGAACTGTTTGACCAGTCTCGTGTATTTGTTTAATAGATGTAAATTGTGAAATAATAGCTGGACACAAAAACAACACTGTCACAGTGACAAATAAATCTGGTCAATCGAAATACACACTGACTTTTGATTTGATTGCATCAGAACTGAGAATTTCATAGTCTACTTTTGAAGCTATTAATGTAAATACAATATCTGGGTTTGTGTGTACCCTCCTACAGGAAGCATATTGAAATTATATAGATACTACGAGCTGTATTTTCTGCACAATAGCATATACACATACACTTCTCATTCTTACCATTAATCAGAAGCCAAATTAAGGTTAATGATGATCTGGGAATATCAATGAAGTATAGAAATGTCGGGAGTTCCGCTCTTACGTTGAGTCTCTCAAACGGTTGGAAGACAGATGAACAATTATTCGTTGTGATGACATCCCCAGGTAGGACAGATAATTTTGAGAAGCATTGCCCTGGAGTTCCTCGTCCTGACCGCGCGTCAAGAGCATACACTGATATGCTTGTAGCAGCGACATTAGACTTGAAGCTGCAGGTATAATTGTCAGTTTGTGGTGTAGAATTAGGTATCCTTTGGTCTCCGTGGGTGAGTGAGACTTGCGACAATCCCTCTGCAACACCTCCACTGATGTTCAATAAATCACCTTCTGCAACATAGTTTCAATCATTACAACCGTTAAGATAAACATGAGTGTCTTGAAGGTACCATATCCTAATCATCTTCGTTATCATGCCCAGAGAAGACTAACATAGTTAAGAACAATTCATGACTGTCGGATGAAATTTTCAACCTTTCTAATACGACTAGTATGACTTTATGTCCTATGCCTTATGCCCACAAAACACTTTACTTTAGAACTATTCTTTGGACACAATATTATATAAAGGAATTGAAAGGCTTCCAAGAAACAAAGAGCTTGTTTATTATTATAATGTGAGCTGAAGTATAACAAGGACCATTCTGGGTTAGGCCAGCAAATACCAATTATGGTTAAACCTGTGAGACATGCCCTCTGTTATAAGGCAGAAATGAGGGCACCTACAGTAGAAAAAAACGAATACAAAGAAACAGTGGCATTAACATAAATTTATTAAAAAATGAAGGACAGCGTCTTTAGTACACCCGGGCTGAATGCATTTTAGGTCAATCCAGCTTTACAATGATCGCAACATTCAGCTTTTCTTCGCCCAGAGACAAACCTCATTGGTAGGCTCCTATATATGGCGAATTGTTTTTTCCTTGAATGACAGTGCACAAAGCTCTCTTTTAGGATTCTTTAAAGACATTGTGTGAGACACTGCACACATGCATGGAGCTATGGCCAGGCACTTTCTTGTTTGACACATTCTTGATAGTGTAGTCACAAGCCTAGTTTTCAAGAGAAGTCATACCATTCAGAACGCAATTAAAGCCACAGGGAAACCACCATTCAGCCGAATCATACCAAGTGACGGTCTGTTGTTCAACGCTGCACTCAGCAATATTCCAGCTATATGGTGTGACGAAATGTCAGCTGAAAATGTAAGTAGGGGAATATTCTATTAACTCTCCATTCCTGATTTAAAATGGGTCTGTCGTCCACTTGACCAATGCCATGTCTGTTTAAGTATCAGTTGTGTATGCATGGCCACACATCAATAACATACAAGTGGATAATCTTTTCGTTGTAATTATGTATAATATCCTCATTTGATTCTGAAAGTGATGATAACCACGTGACACAGGACACGCTATCCTTAGAAAATGTCCTCCGTTCTGTGCCAAAGGCGGTTACTCTCAGACAGAGACATCGCAACCCATCTGCACTCTGCTCCACTCAGTGACAAGTTAGTAATCAGGGGATGTTGATTTCACAAACCTATCCAGATATACTCGAAGAAGAGTTTTACATTTGTCATCTAGTTTGTGCTATGTCACGTAGTTACCGAAAGGAGTGGAACATCCAGTTTTCAGTGCACGAGCAATAAATATAAGTTGTTGCAAAGAATGGAAACAATACCACATGCCGTTTGTAAATTGTCGAGGACAATATAACTTCTAGATTATTTCACAAGATGGTACCACAACCTTCCGATCACGTTTACGTATAATTACATCTTTTCCCGAAAACAACAGTAACAACTAAAGTCCAGTTATTCAGCCAATACTAACAATAAACACTTACTTTCAGTACACAGATATCTGACAACAGAGAATGTAAGACCTGCACTACGCCGTGTGGCACGATACACACACTGAGTCTCTGTTGAGCAGTGGTTGTAGAGGGAGACCAGCTCGGTGTTGTTGAACCTGTGATGTCCACGTTCTGTCACATTGTCCAGGTTCACTGTGCAACTAGTGAGAGCAGCACCGCACTCTGTATTGCCAGTGTAGTACGCATCATAGATGGCGATCTGCTGGTTGCTGTTGCATCTGATGTCATGATGAATACAAGAGAGGCCACGGGAACCCCAGCATGCTTTACTGGTCTTTGTTGCACCTACATGGAGGACACGTCACAACATGCATGTGTGAACACATACTGTGAGATGAAATTTGTTTGAAAATAGTATTTATGATTATAATATCGCTGTCAATATTGTCCAAAACACAATGTTTTCGATTATATACAATCAGACATTTCATAAATGTTTAAGTAACTTTTTGGGAAAATGTAAGGATCGGGCATAGTATGTGGATACCATATTTATGTACATATGCAAGATTGACACTACTGTAACCGAGCTTGGTTATCGATAATATTAGCATATTGTCGGGCAAGATGTCACACAATAAAGAAGGCTACACCTCGTTTCCCTCATCCATGTGAGGGCACCTACAGTAGAAAAAAACGAATACAAAGAAACAGTGGCATTAACATAAATTTATTAAAAAATGAAGGACAGCGTCTTTAGTACACCCGGGCTGAATGCATTTTAGGTCAATCCAGCTTTACAATGATCGCAACATTCAGCTTTTCTTCGCCCAGAGACAAACCTCATTGGTAGGCTCCTATATATGGCGAATTGTTTTTTCCTTGAATGACAGTGCACAAAGCTCTCTTTTAGGATTCTTTAAAGACATTGTGTGAGACACTGCACACATGCATGGAGCTATGGCCAGGCACTTTCTTGTTTGACACATTCTTGATAGTGTAGTCACAAGCCTAGTTTTCAAGAGAAGTCATACCATTCAGAACGCAATTAAAGCCACAGGGAAACCACCATTCAGCCGAATCATACCAAGTGACGGTCTGTTGTTCAACGCTGCACTCAGCAATATTCCAGCTATATGGTGTGACGAAATGTCAGCTGAAAATGTAAGTAGGGGAATATTCTATTAACTCTCCATTCCTGATTTAAAATGGGTCTGTCGTCCACTTGACCAATGCCATGTCTGTTTAAGTATCAGTTGTGTATGCATGGCCACACATCAATAACATACAAGTGGATAATCTTTTCGTTGTAATTATGTATAATATCCTCATTTGATTCTGAAAGTGATGATAACCACGTGACACAGGACACGCTATCCTTAGAAAATGTCCTCCGTTCTGTGCCAAAGGCGGTTACTCTCAGACAGAGACATCGCAACCCATCTGCACTCTGCTCCACTCAGTGACAAGTTAGTAATCAGGGGATGTTGATTTCACAAACCTATCCAGATATACTCGAAGAAGAGTTTTACATTTGTCATCTAGTTTGTGCTATGTCACGTAGTTACCGAAAGGAGTGGAACATCCAGTTTTCAGTGCACGAGCAATAAATATAAGTTGTTGCAAAGAATGGAAACAATACCACATGCCGTTTGTAAATTGTCGAGGACAATATAACTTCTAGATTATTTCACAAGATGGTACCACAACCTTCCGATCACGTTTACGTATAATTACATCTTTTCCCGAAAACAACAGTAACAACTAAAGTCCAGTTATTCAGCCAATACTAACAATAAACACTTACTTTCAGTACACAGATATCTGACAACAGAGAATGTAAGACCTGCACTACGCCGTGTGGCACGATACACACACTGAGTCTCTGTTGAGCAGTGGTTGTAGAGGGAGACCAGCTCGGTGTTGTTGAACCTGTGATGTCCACGTTCTGTCACATTGTCCAGGTTCACTGTGCAACTAGTGAGAGCAGCACCGCACTCTGTATTGCCAGTGTAGTACGCATCATAGATGGCGATCTGCTGGTTGCTGTTGCATCTGATGTCATGATGAATACAAGAGAGGCCACGGGAACCCCAGCATGCTTTACTGGTCTTTGTTGCACCTACATGGAGGACACGTCACAACATGCATGTGTGAACACATACTGTGAGATGAAATTTGTTTGAAAATAGTATTTATGATTATAATATCGCTGTCAATATTGTCCAAAACACAATGTTTTCGATTATATACAATCAGACATTTCATAAATGTTTAAGTAACTTTTTGGGAAAATGTAAGGATCGGGCATAGTATGTGGATACCATATTTATGTACATATGCAAGATTGACACTACTGTAACCGAGCTTGGTTATCGATAATATTAGCATATTGTCGGGCAAGATGTCACACAATAAAGAAGGCTACACCTCGTTTCCCTCATCCATGTGAGGAAAAGGAAGGGTCTGGAGCAAGTCAACATTTCCAGGGAACGAGGAGGAGTGAGTATCACTACAGAGCAAGGTGATGTCTTGAAGCCTCAACTGGCCGAACAGCAATGAATACAAATCTACACATATTAGTAAGTTAAAGCACTCGTTTCTGTATGATAAGTGGTAATTTTAAACGTTAGTTCTTGATCGTTACTGTCAATGTATAGCAGGATATATGCTATATTGAAGAGTATTGCATGTTCTAAAATTAACACACAGTTAACGTTGGACTTCATGAACTACAAGGTAGCGGTCATCACGTTCAACATACTCGATGGTTCATATTCACACGAACAACAACGTCCATCTAGAATAGATAAAAGAAATAATCTGTTAAGATGATTACCAGATTATATTCTTTATCCTGGTTCGTTATATCCGAAGTTGACTATACTCCCATGAATACAATTTCTTCTAATCTGAATTATAAATTAGATCTAATGTGTGTACCTTAGCAAACACGGGTTTGAAGAACGAACATTCCCTGCAGCATCATGATCAATCAAAATGAACACGATCCAACATGATAGCTACAGATAACGCCACTGGAAACTGAAATTATTGTTCCATGTGCGTATGTCCCCTAGAATATATACACTGTGTCATTCGTCACCACTCGCCTCTTTCCGTGACCTGCAAGAAGGCTCGTCCCCCTATCGATGAATGCTATGTGCGAAAATACGACAAACTAATCAGAATGCGCGTATGATTTCAAGTTCTTCGTCAAATAATCCCTCCGAAAATAATGCTTGATTTTGCATATGTATGGCATCTTTACCCAAAACAAAGTAAAATGTGTTCAATCATACTGTATAATTCCGCACGTCCCGATGTGCTTTAAATTGCATCTGAAATATATTATAATATACAGGGAAGTATATGTGAACCATTACGCAACGATTTTTACAATTGTTTTAGGTATGCCCGTTTGCGCTAAGACGGAACCCGGTCGCAGAATTGGCCATGAGCGGGGCACAAGTCGCTATTCGGCTCCCTGAATAACACGAGTTTGTCACGAATGGCACTGTATGCAACTGGCCGACTACAGTGGACGTATTTGAACAGACATCTGGGCACTGTGATTTTGATGTGACAGACATTAAATATTGATCTGGTTGTATTGACTGCCCTTTCCTTATTATGAAACTGGATACTGCATAGCATCAGACAATGGAAACCGATATTTAGTACGCTATGAGGAGAGAACTTCCTCTTGACATCGGCAATGCAAAGTTACCTGTAAACGTATTGACTTGACACTTGAAATAAATCCTTCCGCGACATATGTCTTTACACGTATAGAGCATGTCTGCGACAAAAATGCGTAAACAGCTTATCATAAATCAACAAATCCTTTGGTTTCCATCATTATGTATACATCGAATCACTGTACTTTATGTCAGGTGCTCACCTAATATTCACCATCTTCATTTTGATGTATATCTTACCTGTAGAAACTGGCTGAGGAATGTAGTAAATAAAGATGATACATTGCCAAACGATCACAAATTTCGCCATAATGTTGACAGCTCAACTCTCAACTCTCTATGATCAGCTCATCTGTAAATATACAAAATGTGTGAGGGTTGCATTATCACAAACAATTTACTTCCTTGTTGAATGACGTCTGCCCATAAGACCTAGATGGTTACAGTAATTTGCCTAAGAAGACACCACACGTTACATATATCTCAGTGTGGATAACATCGAAGCTTTAGAAACCATAAGCAGTCAAGTTTGCCGAACACGGTCACATTTCAACCTACATGTATCAATGCGACCATCGTTGCTTAATTTGACCTGATTTCTGACCTGTGTTCTGTACATAGGATCACATTCTACCACATAGACGTACAAACTGAATTACTAGTCTAATGCACATGTGACGACGGCTATACAAGGTTGTCAACAAGGAAGTTAAACTGGGGCGTTAGGTTTAGGTCAGCTTGAACTCCTTGTGTAACTCACCTGACTGATCAGTCCGTTCAACTGCACACAACCGACCTAGGTGTGATGCTTTCTTACAACATCTGTACACAACCACATTATGTGTTGGTAAATTATCACTACTGTACTTAGTACTACTTGAGTAACACGGCTGTCACATATGAAATCTTACGTCAGTTATTTAGCTTAAACCTATTAGATATCGAGACAACACCCGTATACATAATTCAACCCTAAGATACAGCTATCACATTGACATGTATAGTTCGGGTCTGATGGTCATACCAGGGACATCACAAACATGCCATTCATATACATCTGCTATACATACATGCATGATCACAGGCACTATAAATAAACACAAAGAGTTATGGGTGTCAACTAAGTCTTCTTTGTTGCGGATTGACACACAACGTTCAGGAGCGTGTTCGTATATATATAATTACTCCTTTAGTAGTAAAATTGATATCACAGGCAGTTCGGTGTGATATGTATACCTATCAGTTAGGGCTGTTGCCGCGGCGACCTCGTGTAGAGTTGCGTGCCTTATGGGTATCGGAATAGTTAACTATGATCGTGTGTTCGAGTCTATGATTCGCCCTGATTATGTTGCTGTTTGACAGCACCAGACCTGTGCTCGTTGTATCACCAAAGCGGTAAACGTCTCATACATGAATCCCTTCGGGCTTTACTCCCTAATCCAGCTAGCGTGATATATCTGAAATAATGTTTACAGCGGCGTTTAACCAAGCACGCTCTCTAATGGAACTTGCGGCCTATACAGCTGAGCATTTTAATATAAAAATTAAATAATGTCACTTAATTATACACAGCTGGTGTCCATACCCCGATAGAAATGCAACAATTACAATCGACTTTCGATTGTGTCGATAAATGGTAATGAGACTTCAGATAATTCACATCTTTTATTAGTACAGACTTACTGTTCGTTTTGTTACAGAGAAACACGATAATGCTCTGTGGTGTGCTTGCAGCCTAAACGTTTGTAATTCAAGTTATTTCAATCAGTATCATGTGAGAGTTTCGAATATGCTGAGAACAGGTTCAACTTTATAGTTCACTGACATACAATACCCCGTTCAGACACATTATACTGACTCCGAGTCGGCCATTCCATGGCATATCCCATTAATGCTCAGTTTATAACGTCTGTTGGTAGGGGATTGACACACCAGCATTCAGCTCTCTGAGCAAACGTTCTATCAACTACGCCACGGAGAGTGTCTTTGTGGTAAAGTATACTCACCCCCATACACACAAAAATCAACTCACACAATATATGCATTAATAACAATGTTTGGATGAAGGCAATATTGGGAAACTTTCAGTTTCACAGTTTCGAAATAGTAGCGTTACACACTCTATACTACGATCCTTCTAATTGTATTGTCATACATGTACGTCGTTGTGGTTGAGATAGCATATCTTATTTTTCAGTATGTTCGTATCAAACAGCCCGAATAACAGAGTGTCCCAATTTTTTTTTATATGACAACCGTATCTGGTTCAACGTAATAATGTTGTGTGTGCCTGATAAAAGTTGGAGGTTCAAAAAGTTCTGGGCCTGACTAACTTTCAAGTATGGGCAATAACAATGTGAACTAGTCAACATACATGTAGTACATTGTTAAAGTAGTTCATTGCACGTGTATTTGGTCTGTTGAGGCCGTTTGTATATTAGTGACAGCCAGTTGAACGTGACAGCAAGTGTATAGGGATAGGAACCCTATCTATTCCACTGTTAAACGCTGAGCAGCTATGTCTAAGGCTGGGAGAACAAGCCGCGAACAAAGCAAGCCTCCATCAATTAATATTCAATGAAGGAGACTGTCAGATAGACGTATTACCATTGTTGAACTTGAGAAAGACACGTGCACAGGTCTAAGCCATGGATCCATTGAAACTATCTTGAACATTTACAGATACATGTATATAAGATATCTGCTCGTTGGGTGCAAAAGTTTCTAATTCTGATCTTAAGGGAAAAAGTAACTGACATTGCCAGAGAAGATTAAGAGCTAAATGAGGAGGATTGCGTCAAACTCAAGAAGAGATCAGTAACGGATGATGAAACATGGGTTTACCACTATCATCCCGAGTCAAAACGTCAATCCATGGAATGGCACCATTCCACTACTCCGGCACCAAAGAAATTCAAGTCTTCAAGATTAGTGAAGAAAGTCATGGCTACTGTATTCTGGTATGCAAAGGGTGTGATCCTTTTTGATTACTTAGAAATTCAAAAGACGGTTACCGGTCGCTACTATGTTGATATGTTTCATCGCCTGAGAGATTCTATCAACGAAAAGCGGCGAGGAGTGCTGACTGCTTCGTGGAAAGCGCTATGACGACAAGGATGACCTCGAAGGTGCCTCAAATGGGGTTTTCAGGGTGGCTTCAGAAAACCTCTTCCTGACTAGAACTAAAAAAGCTTCACTATCGATATGAGAAGTGTACTGAAAAGCAGGTAGATTATGTTGAAAAATAAAATTTAAGACACTTTCACATAATTTATGTTTGTTTTATTAGTCAGGCTTAGAACCTTTTGTCCAGTCCCCGTATAACGTAATATTTTGAGAAACTACACCTTCCTTCGCTGATAAAGCACATACCTGAATCGGAATATTACTCTTGGTACTGGGACACAAACCTTTTTCCTAACTATTCCGCATTTACTGCCCAGCTATATTTATTGTGTTTTTAATGCAGATGCCTTTGTTAAAAGCTATAGAAGCTTCGTAACAGAGGAAGTACTTCAGAACTACACTTGACGACAAGGAACTACAAAAAGGTTACCATGTGTGTGCCAAGTCGCGTTAACTTTTTTATGCACGATGTCCTAGCGGTATGGAGATCAGTTCTCAGTTTCATACCGGTTGTATAACTGAATTTGTATATGGAACCATGCGTACAGCATGACAATTACTTGCTATTCGTCAGTTTACAACACACATTACACGGTCAAACAATTTTGGGCACCGCTTTTGCAAGTTATTTAGTACAATAATGTTTTATTAAAATCTTTTTCAATTTGTTTTCACCATTTTCCCTATTGACAGTCGTTGTTACGTGCGTCACTAGGTAATTAGTACGGCATTGACCTTGTTGATTGTCGTA